GTGAGAGGGGAGGATGGGGAACAATCGCAGAGTTCACAACACTTGCCACAAATACTTTACTGGGGGGAATACATCCTACTCCGCTCACTTACATTAGACGGTGCACCTACTGCAACAATTTCTCTCCTGGCAGTTTGGACGCCTCGCCGCGCCGGAGAAAAACATCTTTCTGCTCTAAAAATGTTTAGGAAACAGGCTACGACACATATTGCGCAAACACTTGCATCAACCGAACGGCCTGCGGCGCGCCCTTCGCCACCGGGTGGCGAATGCCTGATTACTGCGACTTCCACGGCAATAGGTGGCACCTCCCACCACTCCCAATACAATGTGGAAAAACCCAAGGTTCCTGGTCATCCAGCCATTCAAACTGCGCCAAACCTGTCCGCTCCGAGGCCATTGTATTATCGGGGAGTAGGATGTATTCCTCCCAGGAAAGTATTTGCTTGTGAGGTGGAGAAAAGTGCCACTGCTCTGTGACCACTTGATCTAACTGATGCATTCCGATTACTCAGTAAAGGCATCATGAAAGATTGTGTTAAAAAGTACTTGTACTTTGCTTTGAAGGTACATTGTATTTATAGTATTTTACTTCCAGTATGTTATGCCTGGTGTACTTACTACTTTACTTGAAGTACATAACCTTTTTGTTGTAATTTTGTTGCAGGAAAGACATTTTAAAATATACTTTTCTTCTGCATACCGTTTGCGAGTGCAATGAATTGCCCTGCAGCATGATGGGAATTCTCTTTTGCTGCATTGTCTACCGCAATTGATTAACTTTTCTTTGTCAGTATGGACCCCAAGGACTGAACTACTTACTCGTCTTGATTATAGAGCAATTGATACTGGAGGCAATTATGTATATTTATTTGCTTTGCTTATTTTTTTATTGCTCTGCCTACACCATGCCTTGGCCTTGAAAAGTTGGCCGGCAGTATATTGAAAATAAATAAATTTACTTTGTATTTTACGTCCAGTACTTTTTAGGTGACTCTACCCAGCAGCCCACAACAACCTTCATCAATAAAAAGTAGAATTTCATCCACGCCGACATACAATTCCGGCTTCAGCTTATTGATCGCCGCGATAACGTCCCGCAGTAACACTGAACAGAGAAAGCGAGTCACCATCACTGGGTACATTCACTCGGTCTGACCTCATTGAGTGAATGGATGGTAATTAGAATAGCAGCTGCTGGGTCATCGGAAAGTCTAGTGAGAGTCGCTAACCCTTATAAGTAAAAGAATGCCGCTGCAGCCGGTGCCGTGGTGCGGGTTGTTTGAATCGCAAAGACTCTATACGCTACGTCTCAAAAGAAGAGGATTTAGCCAAAGATTCAGAATATTAGCCTCTTGGCATCCGCGGCCCTCCCCAACAGCATTGAAGCGGGTGGACCCACACTATCAAAAAGAGCATCTAATGACATGCACACTGCTGCGTTGCTCGCTTACTCACGTTTATTCACCAAAGATTTATTAGAACAGTTTGTTTCACTTCCCTTGGTTGTCATGCCAGCACATAGTTTGCCGATCATAACTAGAAGAGACACCCTTTCCTCATCGCAACGTAGTAACATTGTTCCGGCACCGAAAAACCGACCCACACCATGACACAGTAAAAGGAAACATCGGCTGCAGCGGCAATGACTTTCTTACTCGTTAAGGATAGCTATAACACGGGAATGTCTAATAGCTATCAGCACCAACGTCTCTCAATGCACGACATTTGTATTTCCACAAGAGTTGCACGAAAAAAACAATGTGTAGAACCTGCGATTTGGCAACCCATGCTAGCAATATTATGTATTCGGCTTAGGATTCCTCATTATGTTGGATTTCCACGCTAGTAAAATGATATAACTTTTTGAAAAGGAGCAAGTATTGTTAAATAGTGCAGGTACCCAGAAACGGGCATTTGTCATGGGGCACTATGCTTCCCCACATGTGTCTAGAGCAGGGGTCTCAAACTAATTATAGTGTGGGGGCCAGATGGTCCACTCCCGAATGGGTCGAGGGCCAACCGGGAATGGGGGGGGTCAATATTTTGGTATTTTGGGACAGAAAAAAACAAAAGCACCAATGCTGTTTTATGTTGGAAAGCAGCCAACTCTCCCAGCGACACCCTGGGGGATTTTCCTCGAGGAGCTTGGGGAGCTTGAGTGACCTCAAGCTTTCAGCTTTATGTAAGCTCGACGTTTTTCCAGTGACATCTTTTCCTTTGATTTGCATGTACAACTACTTTGGGGCCCACAACTGATGTGATAAGTTTTAAAACGACAATGTGCTGGCAGTTTTCAATAGAACAAGAGCAATCACACTGTCGTTGCCGTGTCGCAGAATTCACTAGGCTCACCGTGTCATGGAAATAAATATCTCCTCATACAGCAGTTTTTCGTTTCCTGACAATTTTAATAGCAGCATTATAAGAAAATACTTGTATTTTAAATGTATTTCCTAACGGCCAGAAGCCCGAGCACATAGCTTTATCTTCGGCAGTTGCTACTGCTGAGCGAGAGTTCATACTGCCGAGGTGCCTCTTTGTGCAAAGCTCACGTTTGTAGCCTAGTGGTGTTGGTCCGATTGATTTATGTGACAAAGGGCCGAGAAGCAAATATTTAGACAAAGCGCTACCCAGTCTGACAGAAAACAGAATATTGTTTAATATGTGAACACGTTATGTTAACAGAGCTCCTTTTCGAGCTGAAATAAATCGACGATATAAAACTATTATTTATGGCACATGTAGCATTCAAGACATGGGAATGAAGGTTCGCAGCTCGTAGCCGCGGGATGCTTGCGGGCCATGTCCCAGCGAGTCGCGGGCCGCATGTGTTTGAGACCCCTGGTCTAGAGCATACGACGCATCCACACAAGCAATTGTTTAGATTTCGGTCGTACACTCGTAACATATTTCCATCTTCAGTGAAGCACCGAACAGTACAGCACCATTTTCCACTAAAATTGCATTTCAAGCGATACTACGTGGCAAAGTAAACACAAAAGTCTACAGCATCTCGTGCGCGAATATGAAGAGCCTATGGGGGGGGGGGGGGGCAGCCATACTTCTATCCACGCTACGATGATGATAGCTTGACAGTAGCGCCACCTCTAGATCTATTTCGAGGTCAATACAGAGTGCTGTGCATATCGGCTGCTCACATGTAATAGCACCTACACTCTCCCTAGAGGTTATGTGCCGGGGATTGATACAGAAACGCAGATGAAATGGTCAGCATTGAGGAGCTTCCAGCTGACACTTTAGCATATACACAACTGAGAAATTCTACAAAATATTCCACTATGAAGATGAAGGGAATGATTGGGAAAGTTTTCTGATGGTTTGTGAATGTGCACCCCACATCTATATTTTTTAATGAGGTAGGTCACTATTGAAAAACAATTTGGTACTTTAAAGGTAATATTTTTAAAATTAATTTCCATTACTTGCAAGCAAACTTCTAGTTTACATGAGCATAAAAGTACAAGTTGGGTTCAGAAAATAGCAAAGAGTATTTATTCAAGCCACTAGTGTGACATGCCACTATGTTACAGTGCTTACGGTTGTCGAGAGCAGGTGACCCCAACAAACTTTGCAAACTACACCCACTCTTCTTTTTGTAGAAGCAAAAACTTTAGAAGAAGCCATTGCCAATGCAACTGCAAGGCCTGGCGACCACACAATATCGGCACGAATGGATGTGAAAGTGCAACAACCAATCCCAAAGACTGGTGTCAAGGTTAACGTCATCCCCTTAATGAACCCTTTTTCCTCGATGACTGTGCCCTCCCAAGTTTCCTCCCGATTTCGGTGCCTTCGATCAATACCCCTCTGCAGACCAGGCTCTCGTGGGCGACCCAAGCGAGCCACGCCCAGGAACTTCCCTTCACCTGACGTGCGTGCCATCGGTGATTTTGTACACTCGTTCGTGCTGTTGCATCCAAGACTAAGAATCAACCGAGATTACCACAAAAACTGTGCTGCTTCCACAAAAAAAAAACTTGTTTTTGCAAGGTTTTTTTTTTTTTTTCCTCTTTTTCTTTTATGACATGCTTCTTTATTGGTCTGTATTGTTCAGTCTGGTTAAGACTATTAACAAGTTTCATAGTGCTTTTGTTTTATTCACGTTTTCACGTTCCTCAGCTTTTTGCTGTTCAGCAAGAGGTTTGGCTTCCGCCTTGCTATCAGAAAGCGACACACTTTCTGTATGTACTGGTGGTGTGTCGCAGTAGTTAATTAAAAATAAATTTTTTATTTTTTTTTATTTACAAATTCTTAATTTTTGTGAATTTCAAGACTTAAAAAAAAATTGATTGTGCTAATATACTATTACCCTGTGGTACCAAATACACACATACCACTCACAATCGCAAAATTACAAAATCTTACAGTTGTCAAGAGCAGGTGTCCCCGAGAAACTTTGCAGACTACACCCACTCTTCTTTTTGCGTCTTATCAGTGGGAAATGGGTGTGCAATAAGTTTGCCCTAGTTAATATGCAGTGCACCACCCCTTCCTATTTTGTGCTGTAACAGAGCTGAATCAGATATGGCTCGACAGGTGATGCGAGCTACATAACAGAATCAGAATTAAATGAGAGCACACAAATGAGGGGTCTGGAGCCATACTCTATGCAATTATGCGTAAGGAGAACACCTTTTTTGTTTAAACATCACTACTTTGGCAAGCAGATTGTCACAAAGGATGCCTCGTCATGTGAAACTCACCAGTGACTACACAGTTGTAGTTTCTGGGCACAGTGCTGGTGGTGCAAGCTTGTTTTGGTAGCTCACCAAACTGGACTGCTGAGTGCAAAAGGTGAGAGGGTATGGCACCAGCCCTGCCTTGCTTGCCATTTAAACGAGTGACTTTGGGCTCTTTAAATTGAAAAGTCAATTTTGGTGCCCAGCAGAGTGAATCCATGCATTGCTTGAACACCGGGAGTGGCTTTAGCACTGGTTGACCTGTGTAATGAGGAATGAGGATGTCTGTGTTCACAGGTCGGCCGCTGTGGCAGAAGCAGATACAGCAAGGCACACGTCCCAGCTGCTTCCAGTTGGAGAAGCTCTACTGGAACCAGTATTGGCAGTGCTTTGTGAGCCAGATGCTCCGGAGACTGACACTTGTGCACCAGGGATCCCAGCTTACCACGGAGGCCATGGCACTGTGTCCTCTAGGGATGAACCTAGTCCTTCTTCAGAGTCTGGCCTGCCAGGAGCATGGGAACTCTTTTCTTGCTCAACCACACAGCATAGGTGGGTAGTTTTTAATATAATATTTGACTGAGATCCTCCAACTTGCATGGTTTGTGTGGAGGGAAGCCATTTATAAAGAAACCATACAAGTTGTACATTAGTGCTGCTGTTCCAAAAGGTTGATGATTAAAGGTTTTAAATGGAGCAAGAGCAGCCAAGGTCCATTCTGCACCAAGTTTAGTTGCCCTGAAAAGTTTTAGGTCCATGCCCTTCTACATTGCTTTCTGTTTGAATTTTTTCTACACATTGGTTTTCCATTGTCAATACTGTCACCTAAAAATCTTCCTAAATGAAGAGATCCTCTATTCCAGGGGTGGCCAAGCTGCGGCTCGTGAGCCGCATGCAGCTCTTTGCGTGTTGAAGTGCGACTCGCGGCTCCCTCCCCTCACTTCCCAGCCTCCCTCCCGGTCACACGAGCACTTTTTCAAAAAGAGAAATGGAACATGTTGTAAAACAAAAGACAGGTTGCAGTTTGGCAGTCTTGTGCTCCTACTACATTATGTGCAGTTGAACTGCTTTTGACTTGGATAGATTGAAAGTAGTTAGAGTTTCGTTTATTGCTCTCGACAAAAGTTTGCCCTTCCCCCCCTCTGCGGCTCATGGAAGTTGCGTAGCTTTTGTTTGCGGCTCTTAGGCCGGGTCGGCCTGGCCACCCCTGCTCTATTCTATAATGAGGAGAGCACATTTTAACTGTCATAACTTCTTTTTATTTCTTAGATATAGGTCTGATTAGGCCCTTTGAAAAGAAAATATGTCATTTTTGTTAACTATAAGAAAGCATAGTATTCCAATGGAATTGAATAGTCTTCTTGGATGGAGATCTTATTTTGCATTGGGGAAGACCTGAGCTTGATGCACAAAGTAGTGAAAGAATATCTGCCGTGAGGATGTAGTGTTTCACAGCCCTCGAAAACGAACCTGGTGTGCAGGTCCATTTTAATTCTCCTCTGGTGTCCCCCGTGAAGGATGCTTCTCTGTTTGTGCTCTGTGTACTGCAGAAAAGTACCACTGCAGGAACTTTCACCACTTACTAGCAAATTCTCTCTGAAAAAACAAAAAAGGTGTTACTGTTGTGTTTTTGAAAATTTGTTCCAATAGTCCTTTTGCTGAATTACTCAAGCATCAAGGAGAATGTTTGGAATGTAGGTCAAGCACCGCAAGTGCTGGCATCTACAGCAGTAACTGTTCTAAAGCAAAAGCCTAAAACCAATGGCATCTTGCATGTGCGTTCGCCAAAGCCTTATTTTGGTCATTTACTTGGAATCTTTTATAGGACGAAGGCGAGCAGTGTATAGACTTGCATTCTCAGCATTCTCCTTAGTGCTTGGCAGTAGGTCTATTACGTGTCCTGTGCACAAGGATGTGGTTTTGTTAATTATGACTAAAGGGGTAGTGCAATAATATTTGTGCTTTTAGTATATACAGCTTCGAATTAATCTGCGACATTGAAACCTATGAAACATGCATTAGTTCTACTCTACATGCAATGGTATCTGCAGAAAAAGCATTGAGAAGAAATGCACACAACTCGCAGCCAGAACAAGGGACTATGTGATCCCGTGCGGCCTATGTTCCTTGTAGCCGCACGCTGTGGTGCGATTGGTCAAAACTGTTTTGGAGCAGCGAAAGTCCATTTTGAAGCAGCAAAAAGAACTTGTGCAGCAGGCGCATTTTGGAGCAGTAAAACTTTAGCACTCGTTAGGGTGACCATACTCCTCAGAGTTAAAGACGGGACACAAAGAAGAAGGGTAGCAGGAAGGAAAGGGGTTGGGAGAGAGGGGGGGGAGCTCAAAGCGAGACAGAAAGAAATAAGCTCTGCTACTATTCAGTTTACTGTGAAAACTCACTTTTCTGGGACTTTTCTTTCAGTAGTTGATTACATAAGCACATTTCTTACCTATTCCAAAAAACCGAAGCTAGCCAAATATGGTGGTAAAAAAAAGTGCCCCATACACACCATGTCCGTGCAAACAGAACTTATGGACAAGAGGAGTCACAGAAAAGGCTGAAAATCATACTCTATTTGGTAGAACATTTTTATTCTATGTTTATTCTGATACACTGTCACGAGTAATGATTTTCCGTTTCCGTCCACTCACCTGGTACCGATATCGCAAGCAAGTTCCCACGAAAACAGGACATTTGGCTATATTCAGACAAAATGACGGGACGGTAGAACTTAACCTCTAAAACGGGACGTCTGGTCACCCTACCGTTCGTGCAGCAGGCACAAAGCTGGCAGTGGCAAAACACAGATGATTAGATTATCATCGCATTTTGCCACTGCCAACTTTGTGCCTGCTTCACAAGTGGTAACTTTGGTGTGCCCCCGAGTTTCCCAAGAGCTTCGAGTCGTTCTAAAAAGAGTTGATTTAGTGGTTTTCGGTGACGCTCTGTAAGTTTCTAATTGGAACCATATGTCTATTTTCACTAATTTTATAGAATTAGCCAACTTATCGCAAACATTATCCACCCACATAATGTCCCCCTGGTCGTATAACTCAGCTGTACAAACCGCTTAAGTGTAACTTTCACGGCTTTTTTTAAACAGATCTGTAAGCTAAAAAAAACTGCATATATAATAGCTACAGCTTTATTCGAAAATCGTGTCACGTCCCGCTCTGAAATTGTGGTTTCCCCTTAGCACAAGGGTGCACTGCAACAAAACAAGATATTCAAAATCTCGATGTCCATTTCGCGGTTGTCGCTTTACTTCAGTACACCAGTGCACTATGAGAAGCGCACTCAACAAAGCTAGCTAACCTGTCGGAACAGACCAGCCATACGAGAAATATTAGGAAACTTCCGAGTACTGTCAGTGTTTGATAAAGAAGAAATCAAATAGTGCATTATTTGACACCATAATCAAAAGTCCAGAAAATTCGTACAGGCCTACCATAACAATCTGGCCGTACAGTGAGGCCTGAGCTATTATATTTTCAGTATCAATTAAGTGATATTGACTTTTGGCACAAAGTTGGTGCAAATTCTTCAAAATTTCTAAAAAAAATGTGGCAGGATGTAGCACTTTGACGCAGTATGGCGCAAATTCCGCAGTAAATGTATCACTGCACACGCTGGGGTTGGCAATGCACAGGACATGCGCCGAGTCTCCGACACCATATGGGTCCGGCCATTCCAGACACCTACTGGCCACAAGCTGCTACCCAAATGCTCACCGAGGCATTGAGTGCTCACGCTTGTGTCCACTCTATGAGCCGCATATGAACGTCGGCACCATGAGTAATTCCCACGACTACTCCAACTTTACCAACTCAATGACCTTGTCATCAGGTTGTGTGAGCGGAAGACTGAAAGAAAAAGTCCCTTTTTTCTTCTTGCGAGGTTACACCACCACAAAGAAGCTTCTTAGTCAGCGATATGGTGTATGAATATACCTACTGGGGTATATTACTGCAAGTGAGATTGTGTAAAGTGAGAAATATTTCAATTCATTGCACGGCCCCTTTAACCTGCACCAGCTTCTTTGCTGCCTTAGTCTTTATAGTAGGGTAATAAATTAATCTTTTAATAAGTTACTGGATTTTTTACTCAACAGTATAGCATAGGAACAAATATTTAAAAGGTTAATTAGTGGAATTTAGGTAAATAGATTCTCAATTATCACTTCATTCACACCCGCTGCTGTCGACAGTTCTATCCCGAAGGAATCCTTGTTTCAAGTGTTCCTTTTTCTTCTTCTATATTATTCTGAGTCATTGGTGAGATATCCATGTTTATGCATTATTTGTAAACTCAAATGGTGCTTCGAGATGACTACACTGTTGTTTGTAGCCAATAGCGGACAGAATTTACCTTGGTATATCGGATTTATGTATTCTATTATCGGCCGTTTGCAGTTCTGGGCAGCTTTTTCATATGGTGTTTAAATTTTTTCTAGTGAAAGGAATAGGTGGGTTAGTTCGTACAGTTCCTTTGTCCTTGTTTTTTTATTGGTGCTTTTTGTTTATTTTTCACTTTTGTGCATTCCAGAGCTTCCACCTGCCGCTGTGTCATCAATGATGCACGTTTGCCAAATACTTTTTGCTCATCTGGTGCTGTCTTGCTGGAGGCACGGTGTGTATTGTACCTCAACTTGTACTGGGAGACATTGGCAAACTGGTAGTTATTGTGTTGACCACTGGAATGACATATACCTTCCAATTTTAGCAATAGCACATTTAGAGCTGACTTTTTGGGTACCCCGCAATGCTCTAGAACAGTGGTCGGCAACCTTTTGGCGAAGCGGGCCGAGTCGCCGCGAAGCCAAGGCGGAACGGGCCGGACGGCAAGCAGTGGCGGGGGGGGGGGGGGGGGAGGAGGGAAGGGGAGGGGAGGGGGAGGGGGGCGGGGGCGGGAGGGGAGGGGAGGGGGGGGAGTTAAAATAAAAAAAAAGCACTTGCGCGATCTTACATTGACGTACATAAATCGAAAATGAACAGTTTCTTTATTTCACGACAAACAACATGAGATACGACATTTCCACGAAAACCTAGAGACTCCTCTCAGTGAGACTTTTGGTGTTGAACTGCGCTCGCCAAACTACAAACATCCACATTCAAACTGCTAACAGCGAGTCGCAAAACATTGTGGAGGTTCTCGTCAGTCATTCGTGAGCGGAAGTTGGATTTTATGCACTTCATTCGTAAAAAGGTCTGCTCGCAGACGGGCAGCGAATTAGTCAACTTTATTTTTTTTTTCTTTAGCTGACCGCGTAGGGGCAGGGGGGTGGGAGTTACCGGGAGGCTGAGGGCTGTGTAATACTACCTCGCGGGCCGGATCCGGCCCGCGGGCCGCTGGTTGCCGACCACTGCTCTAGAAGAACGGGGAACAGTCCTTACTCAAATTGTGCCGACACTTTAGGATCATCTTTGTTAGCCGACCAGCCAGTTTTCTCAAGTTTCCAAAAAGAAAAGGGCAGCATTGCATAGTAGGGTGAAACTCTACCATCCTCCATGCAAGGGTCCCACATTAGGTGGGTATGCTCTAGAGGTGTAGCCAAGCTTGGTGCCTAAGCACTGCAATCCTTGGCTGCACAGAAATGTGCCTTGGGATGTACAGAGGAACACACAGGGGGCGCTGTGTGGTTAGGAGTGGGTGTATTTGCAGCCATGAGTGCAGCCCTGGCACAGCAGGGAAATGCACAAGGAACGACGCCGGGCAGCCAACTGTTGCGAGCGTTACAACCCCTGACTGCTTATTTGTCCACCGCGCCCAGGATTGTGTGCAAGGACAGCTCCCTGGGTGAGGGTCTCAAGCTGCCTTTTCCTCGAAACAATGCAAGCTCTCATGTGCAAGCATTCTTTTTCTTTTTTTCATTCTTTCAAAGCACTGCTGACATGGAGCGACAACCTTGGTTGCTGGCACCTGCCTAGGTTGCTTTCTCAGCCAAATGGGTCTGGAGGGACAATGCTTGTATGAAAGTTTTGCATCTGCTTTACTTGTCTCCATTGCTTTGCATCTTTTATGAGAATCGTGCTGTTTGAAGGGGCAATGCAACAATTTTACCTTCGAAAGAATTTGCAGTTTTTAATTTTTACATTGTTTATCGTACCAAAAGGGATGGAGAAACCGCCTCATTCTTTTGAAATCTCGCCCTATCCGGATATCCCTGTCCCCTTTGGTCTTACCATAGTGTGTTCCACCAGCTGAATCCTGTTCTAAATAAATGTTGTCTGACCTGACCTTTTGAAATATTGCAATTCCATTGCATAACAGCAAAGAAAAGAACGGGAATATTTTGCCATTTGCAGCCGCGAGTGGCGGCCATGGGCCTCATGTCATCAATAACATTGTACTATATTTAGTTTTAGTGGTGCCATCTGCCCAAGGTGAACAAAACCATTCCTCTCGAGTCTCGCCCCATCGCTACTATGCCAGTCCGACTTCCTTACGGCAAGACGAGTGTGTTGCCCCCCTACACCACCCCCCTTCCCTTTCTCCCCCTCTCCACATTGCTCAGAACAACCTTCAAAGTTGCCATGTGAATCGCAGACACGCGCTGCAGGCTCTGGAAGGGGACCTAACCCCTGTGGCCCCAGTGTACCCTACTACACGTTAATGCGCACACGACTCGGAAGACGGTGTGAAAATTGAGAGTGGTTGGGGAGGTGCCCAAAACTTCAATTGTTTGGCAATTTTTTTTTAAGAAAGAAGTAACGTGCGCAGGCAAAATTGGTTTTCAGTTCTTTACTCCAGACATGATGGGAAAAACTAGTGATGCAAAACTATCGAAAAATTGACTATTAATGCTATCGATAGTTTTCCAAAACTATTGATAGTGTCAAAAACTATTAATAGTGGACTATCGATAGTACCATCGAAAGTATTATCGATACAGTAAAACTCGTTTATAACGAACAGCAGGAAACGCTACTATCAGTTCGATATAGCAAGTAGTTCGATATAGCAAAAAACATTAATAACCAACTTCCACGATGAGTTTCTTGTAAGGCAAGAGCTTCTCTTTCTTTGTCATCTCTTCACTCCCGCCTTGTAACAACGCGCTGCAAAGTTCTTTCTTTTCTTTTTTTTTTTTTTGCATGCGTGCAGAGTTTTTTTTTTAGCTTATCTCTTCTGAATCGCTTCTCTTCGTGTGCAAAAACTTTGGTATGAAAAGTTGTTTTCATTCTGTGCGTGCGTGCAGAGTGTATGTTTTAACTTTCTCCCCTTCTGAATCGCTTCTCTTCGCTCAATTTTGTTCGCAACTTGAGCTTTTTGAATTTTCTTTACTTTCCTACTTCATTTTTGTGGGGAAGGGACAGGCAAGAAGACCATTATTTGCGCAGTTTTGGAAGGGTTCCCGGGGGGAGAAAAGTTTGATATAGCCAATATGTTGTTCGTTATAAAACATACCTTTTACATGCATTTTTATTTAAATTTTTCGTGAGTTCGATATCAACAATAATTCGCTGTACGTGGGTTCATTCTAAACGGGTTTCACTGTAGTTGCCTATCGATAGTGCTAGCGATAGTGCAGTTGATAGTACTATCAATAGTTGGCTTTGAGTCATCGACACTATCGAAAGTAAGCTTTCAGAAAACTTTTCAGTGTTAAGAAAATTAAAGCACTACCCAAAGAGGGAATGATGACGGATATGTATGGGCATACAGTGCATGATTTTGGGGAAAACATGAAATTGAAAGGAAACAAAACATAGAGTTGCATTCTCGTACAATTAATATAGAGGTAAAACAGAAATGGCGGTTTGGTACTTTTTCCTGCGCAGATATTTTGTACATTCATGGGGACCAGATATCAGGCTTCACACTTCAGTATGCCCATATTTGTAAAACTATTTGTATATGAAGTACTTTTTTGTGTCTTGGAGCTAGGGAAAACACTCGCTGAAGACATTTAGCATCAGGGTTTTCACAAGTTTGTTTCATGCTTGTGTTTCCCTTGTTATTCAATTGAAAAATATTCCTTTTCATAGCCTTGACCACTGACAGGTGAAAATATGCACTCTGCTGGGGATCTTTTTTTTTTTTCTGCCTGATGACCATATATAGCGAATTCCCTAAAATCGGGAATTAGCTGTTAAAGGGGTACTAAGGCCGTTTTTTGAGCTACCCAAACAAACTGCATTTTCTGAATATCCGGACTGTATGCTATTTATTTTATCAAAATTCAAAGTAGCAATTGAGAAAACCGTAAATGAAGATGATGCCAAAACAAACATTAAAATTTCTGCACGCTCATCAGTGGTGCGACGTCACAAATGGTACAGACTTTCGGTCGTCCAGGTAGTCTTAAATGGTGCGTCAAGCGTTTTTCGTGTGCTTCTCAGTGAATCTGCTTCCAAGCATTCTTTTCCTACCATCAGTCTTGTAATCATTTGGGAACGTGGTTTACTGCCCACTTTGTACCATTTCTGTCGTCACACTTCAGTGTTGCCAGTAGAGGCTCTCGGTTTGAGAAACACTATGAAAATGAAATTCGAATATTCAATAACTTTGCGAAATGTTTTTCTTTTCACACAATACTTGGGGCACTGGTAGAGCCGTGTCTATCGGTGTGTTGAGCCGATTTTGAGGCAAATCAGCCACCATGAAAGCACTGGAGTACCCCTTTAACAAAAGCACTGTTTGTTTGGTTCTATATTGGCAGAGTTTAATAATGGTGACATTTGAATTAATGTATGAAACAGAAGTTATATTGTGCAGACTTCATATTCATTACCAGATAAAGAACTTATACCAAGAAAACATAGTTACTGATACCTTTAGTTTTTCATTCTTCAAATACAAAAAGTTTGGGAACATAATGTTAACTGAATGAAAAATAAATGATAAAAACAATTTGTGTGATCCAGGTAGATATTGTTGGCAATGAGGCATTTTTTCAGTGAAAAAGGCTGGTGAATCCGAAAGGTGAGCTTTTAATTTTCGCAAATGGAAAAATTTGCGAAATTTAAGGGCACGCAAAAATTTTGGTCCTGAAGGGTTTCAATGCAAGCATCTAGAATTCGCGAAATTTAGTGTTTGTGACTATGTTTTCTGTGACCGATTCACAAAAAATAGGGACCGTGAAAAAAAAAAGTTTACAGTATTGTTTTCTTTCTTTCTCGCATATGTTTAGAAAAAAACGGCACTCATCTTTTCATTTGAGTAAAGCCGTGTCCCCATACTTGCGCATTCGATCACCATCACTAGCATTATATTCAAGCAGGGTTCCGAATTTATGCACCACATATATAGTTTACTTATCAAGGGTGACAGGGATATCCATTTTTCTGATTGAGCTCAGAAAAAGCAAAGGGCACCATTTTGGAAAACTATCTAAAACAGCAAAAGAAACTTTGACAACCTATCAAGTTGATATCTTTTATTCATAGTTTTTCAATAGTATATAATAAATATTTTTTTTACTTTATTGTCTATAGTTTTTGAGGAGGATTTTTACCGTTTTGTGACAGTTTTCAAATAGGTTTTAGATTGTTCCTCAATAATTATGCGGAAGTCCCTAATTACAGTTTCGTTTTTCTCTGAGCTACATAACATTTCCTGGACGTTCTTTGCCTGTCACCTTATAAAACCCCATCAATAGCATTACGATAGTTGGATTTCAATAGTTTCTCTATATTCAACTACAATAGTCGACTATCGATACCACTGTCAATAGTATTCATAGTACTGTTGATAGTTTAGCATCACTAAGAACAACTCCCACAGTTATTTGACCGAAGTTTGAAAATTTTTGCACGGCCCCTTTAACATAACAAATTGTAGCAGTTGAGGTTTGGTTTACCAGTTGGGCACTTGGATAGGTAGCCTATTACGTGAACATCAGGTATACCATTTTCTGCGCTATGCTATGGCAGAAGGTGTTTCATTATAACATGGGAGGAGTTGCTGCAAACATTTTTCAAACTGGAGGGTTCTAAAGTGAAAAGTTTTTCGACTTTCAAGCTTATTATGTTACAATATTCAGCTACGTAATTCAAACTTGTGACAATGAAAAATGTGACGATTTTTCAACTTACTTGGAGAAATTTGACAATTTGCAAACTTTGAAACCTTCAAAGCTCAGAAATTTGGCAAACTTTAAACCACTAAAGATGGTTTGAAGCTGAATTGAATTTCTCCAAAACATGCTTCAATCAGAACCTACTTTACCTGTTTTTAGCAACTAGCGCAAATAATGTAAGACCACGCTCGCACTGTGCTGTCAAGGATACGCAAACAAGAAAAAGTAATAAAATAATCAAACCACGATTGCTTTCATAAAGAAGACTGACTCCAAATGAAGCCACAAGGCCAGCTAGTGATCTGGTGGCAGCAATAGCTCTGCCTCAAGCCTTCAACTAGCTTGTGCGACAGCTACGAAAATATTCTTGCACTTAAAGGCACGCCAAAACTTTTTTAAGATACAAAATGTAAATAAAAGAAGATATAAATTCAATCCACAGTAACCCCGAGACGTAAAAAATAAAAAAACGGGCAGTACTTTTTTTTTTTTTTTGTCCTACGTTTCAGGGTTACTATGGATATTATTCACCAGCTCGCCTGTGTTTTTTTACCTTTCTTCACTATATAAATTCAAACTTGTTAAAGTCGTAACTCCCGACATTTAAAAATTTGTAAAAAACTTAAAGGACACATGCAAAGGAAAAAAATATTTTTTTAAAACAGCCGGGTTGGGAAAAGGAAGTAATAAAACGAATTTACAACAAAAAATAAAAAATTTTAGAGCTATATTTACGGCGCTATACGAATTTGTAGTTGGCCCCCACGGGCGCCGCGAAAAAGTGGCCCATATTTATCATGTGACTGGCCCGTATTTGTCACGTGGTACTTGTGCTCTTTCGGAAGCTTCCTGTGGTCTCAAAAAGTTACTTATTCATCTTCATTTGAAGCGCAACAAAAAAACGAAGATTAATAAGTAACTTTTAGAGCCCAAAGGAAGCTCCTGAAAAAGCGCAAGCAGATGCGATAGACCTGTGTGCCGGTCAGATGACGGCAGCGGCGCCCCGAAGCAAATGAACTTGCGCGGCGGCGGCAGCGTGGAGACACTCGTCGAAGCGGTGGCACAAAACGCTCAGCGAAAAGCGGCGGCGGCGCGACTTTGCAGCGGGGGCGACGCAGCGTGGCGGCGCACAGGTGACCCAGCGGCGGCTCCCGCGGGCGCCAACTACAAATTCGTTTTGTGCCGTAAATATACCTCTAAAAATTTTATTTTTTCTTTGTAAACTCGTTTTATAACACTTTTTCCATCTAGGCTGTTTAAAAAAAATGTTTTTTTACTTTGCATGTGTCCTTTAAGACTTGAAAGAAATTAGAAATCTTTGAAGTTTTCAAACTAAAGCCTCAAACTTCTAAACCGTCCAACACGTATGTGCAGAAACCTTGAAAGTTTCGAACTTTTCTATTCTCAGCGGAGTTTGAAAGGGGTATCTCTGAACGTGTGATGCAAACAGGTAGTCCCACATAGATAAGTGTTTCACCAGGTATGGCCTTCTGGATAGCATGCTGCTTCTTCGGCATTGAATGTTTTCAAAGGGTTCTTGTTAGCAAAAGGCAATTGTTTTGACAAAAAATGTTTAGGTTCACAACAGGAGTAGTCATATGTACATTTATTTCCCATAGAGCCGTTTTCTAATACAGCTCTCTACGAGCCCCTCGACTAGCGATTGGTGTGGTGTCAGGTTGTCATGGCAACGTGTGTCTCCTGCCAGTGAAACACCACCTTGCCCTGACCCTGGGGCACATACTGCAATGGTCGGAAGCGAGACTCCGTCACTGGCTGCACTCTTGGGAGCCCGAGCAGCTGGTGTTGATGGCCTCCTCCTTGCTGCAGGTACTGGGCCCACAGAAGTGCCGTTTCCCACTTTGAGTGCCCCAATGGCCTGGCTCATGTCTGCTCTGTATTCTCACGTCGGCTGACTTAGGCTGGAATGGGCCTGAAAAAGTACTGCCAATGAGTTATTCCGAGCCATCTGCAGAAGATACTTGACGATGAGATTAGACGGGTACAACTCAGAAATATTACTACACGCAGCTATAAAAGGGGGTCGCACAATTATTGAACAGTTTGAAAATAGGGGGCTTGCAAAATTAGTGAATTTTCCCTATCCAAATGGTATGGCCGAGTTCAGTTGCACATCCAAGCACCTAGAACTCCTTGCAGGAGGCAGCCCAGCTCCTCTACGGCCCATTGTTTTGCAGGGAAGCACACCGAAAGGAGCTCAAGACTCTGTGTTGGGAAGTAGTACTTAAGTACTACAAGTAGATTAGAAAAGTTGTAACTTACTTGAAGTACATTTTTTGAGTATGTACTTGTAGTTTACTTGAAGTACAATCTTTGAATATGTACTTGTACTTAAGTATTTTTTCTGATACTTTCCAATGAAAGCACAACTTCTGACTTCAAAAAAAGTACATTAAAAATTAGGCCTTGTTAAACTTGTATCACAAAATGATGCTTTGTTAACTCTGATGAAATATTAAAAGGAATATTCTTTCCCCAGAAACGAGAGGAAATGATGCATCGTTGCGTTTGTAGGAGTGGGCATTTCAGCAGCCCATTTTGAACTCGTGCTACTTCTCGCTCGGTCAGCGCAAAAGAGGTTAAATATTAGGAGAGGGTACTCCTCCACGAGAGGATTGCTTATGGAAACTACGGGGCGACATGCAAGCGGCTCCAAATTCATAAGTGTGAGGGAATTCTGGATTTGGCGCCATTTCTGAAAATAACTAATCTGTGGCCACTTGACTTTATCAAATATTCACTGCCATTTCCGAAAATACCTGATGCACTCTCAATTACCCCTGGGGCAGTGCATACCAGTTTAAGAAAAAACAATGGATGGAGAATGAAAGGGCACCATGAAAGATTGTGTTAAAAAGTACTTGTACTTTACTTTGAAAGTATTCTATTTATAGTATTTTACTTCAAGTACATTGGACCCAGTGTACCTGGGTGCAATGTACTTGAAGTACTTTAGATTGTACTTTAGTACTCAATTAAAAAAGTACTTGAAGTACTACTTTACCTAAAGTACTTTTTAGATGTACTTTATCCAGCACTGCAGACCATACAAGCAACCCATGGGAATCTGAAACCTTACAAGCAACATGAAAAGGAAACCTCAACTCACTTTCTTTTAGTGCAATTTAGATATTCATGGACGTTGGTATAGCTATAGTATGAGCACCTTGCAACACTCAGTCACAAGGACAACTCAAGCCACCGAGTCGTTTGTTTTTCCCCAAATATGCAAGGACTGTGTTTTTATTTTCACTTGTCATCGCATATGGATAACAAAGCACGTCTACAGTAACAACCCATGCTGATCTTTCATTTTGCAGCAGACAATTGCATCGGTCAAGTGCACTAAAAAGTCCTGGGAAGAGCACCCAAGCACTGGCAGTCCGTACGCCGATTGCACATCGGCTCTGGAGGCCCTCGAGGTAGGCTGGAAGGGTGGCTACGCTGGCCGGTGTCACAGCCAAGCCTCTGCCTGCAGGCTCTGCAGGCTGCCGTGCCTTCCGAGTACAAGAAGGGATGCTACCAAGTCTGCCTGCGCAAGTGGAGCTCCAGTATGCCGGCCGCAAAGGACTTCCGCAAGCGAGGCGCGGGTGTGTGCTGCTTCCTGTCGGCCGACACACCTTCCTTAATACCATTTGTGGGCCTACCAAGTTTCCCTTTTTCAGTGCATGCTCTCTTGGGATTATGGTAGTGTGGTCATGAAATTTAATCGAAAGACTAATGTAGCTATAATAACTGTAAAACAATTTTTTTTTTTTTTTTTTTTTTATATATATAATGGTTACAGGCGAGGCCAGTGTCTTTGTTGAACCTGTTGTGAAGGATGTCTTGGATCCTGCCATCAGCGGAGTTCAGGGGTGTCCAGCAGCAGTTCAAGCTGTGTACACTAGGCTCACGGTCGAAGCTGTGCTCGAGGCCTGGAAGACGACCGTCCAAACTAAGGGTCTCAAGTTCAGGCGAGTTATTACAGGATTTTAAAAGATACTCTACAAACATGTTGAATTTTGAGCACTTGCACGAGGCGGATATAATGGGCAAGCCATCCCAAGTTTCGGCTGAATTTGGATTCTTTTAAGCATATCTGGCAAAACGAGGCGTTAAAGCTCTGCTTCCGTCTGCGAGAAGTTACTTCTAACCCACTAGACAGCCTCCCTTCTCTTTCCAAACATGGCACATGTCTTTTGCCTGATGTCATGAACCAACTAGCCCATCAAAGCACACTGCTGTAGATAGCAGTTGTATAGCCGGCGACACTTCAGAAGAGGTACATGTTCACCAACATCAACATGGTGCCTCATATAGGCTTGGGTCATTCCGAGGCACGGAACATGTAATTATGGTTGAACCAGGAGAATGGCAGGTTTTTCAATCTTAAAAGCACCTCAAAACAGGCCCTTTTTGTTGTCTTCCCAAAAGTTTCTTCAACAAATAGCAACAAACTTAAGACCCAGACACAAACCTACATTCTTCCACTTGTTGGAGTTGCAGGAAATCACTTGACCCATTTTCATACGAATTGCATGGCCAAATGACTCCAGGCACGCATTAAAGTCCGCGTTCTGAATACGCCACTCGAGACCGAAATCTTGCTATTGAGGTGTCTCGCAGCAAGTTTGCACCATGTCACATGCATGAATAGCCTTATTTACATGAAAGAGACTTCAGCGCATCGACTCCACTCATGTTTCGAACGAAGGCGACGCGGGCTCGCGGCAACGTTTACATAAATGCGCACCAAGTCCTACACGAAGGTGGCACCACGCAGTGTCAAAGCTCGAAGTTATGCAGTTCCAGCACCAGCCGCCGCACCACATTTTCCGATGCGTCGCACGTGGAGGTCTTTTGACGCGTTCAGTGAACGTAAAGATCATGCCCGCTGTCTACGGTGCTGTGGAAGAAGTTACGAGACAGAGGAAACATCAAAACCCAAGCATTTAGGGCTCCAGGCTGGGCTGCCGGGTCACTCTGGACCAGAGGCGACGTGTGTGCGTACGCTTTGAGGACGCCTCCGCGCTTCGCCGCGCCAGACCTCGCCGATCGCGACCAGACCAACCGGACCCAGAGTCCGAAAGGCTCCTGCGCAGCCAGGAACGGCACCGAGGTAGGAACTGCTCGTTCTGCGCTACCATGCGGTGCTCTACAGTGCTCGGAGCTCTCGGTGTCGTTCGTGCTTGCGCCGAAGCCTTTGGGGCCCCTTCGGACGCGCAAGTCGTACTTCGCAAGGCTTGGACGGGTGCCGCCCTCACCGAGCAGCTCGGCTATATTCCGCGTACTTGTGATTGCAATAAAAGCTCACGTTTGTTCTCGGGAAGAAATTGCGGGCGACCATACGGGACCACTCTCCACGCCGCCATGTTCTCAGCTGTTCACTCGCTGCCGCAGCGAGCGCCTTCCCATAATCCTCCCCATTCCAAAATGCGATGCGACCTCAGTTTACATGGGCTGAATGAATGCGCACTCGCCATCTCGATCCACCTCTGTCTGGCGACTTGAATGCGACGCGCTCTCTTTGCGCATTATGCCGTTTACATGACCGCATTGAATGCGACAACTGGATTCGATGCGACTAAGTCGCATTCGTGCAAACGGGGCTAATGAGACTTCCTCTGTTAGCTGGCAGAGTAGAGCTACTGTAGCATTGCACAACTGTTGACCCCGCAATTTGTGCAACCAGTCCCGTCGACATGTGTTTCGATAATGCTTTTAGGAGCCTATAGATTAGGCCAGAAGCTACTTTCACTTCTTATGTGGACTCTCACAGACGTGGAGAACTATCATCTGTATGCAAACATATCTTGACCTTTATTCTGGAACTGTTAGCCAAATCTCAATATAACAAAGTTCACGAGACTACCGAAAAGCATTCCTTATTTTCAAATATCGCGATAAACCAGCACGCGGCCCCGACGTCACGCAGCTGCGGGGGTGCTGTCGACGGCACTGCGCAAGCGCAGAGGTTGATGATTAGGGTTTTAGTGGCGCATCGACAACGGAGGCGCAGAGGCTTCACTTAACGCGAATCTGGATTCTGCACACGCACAATGCCCACACGTGGTGTGGGCAAACACGGGCTTGTTTGTAAACAGTGTGTCGGTCTATATTGGCTCCAACAGAAAATTAGAAGAAAAAAAAAGACATAGCCTACCTCTGCAACGAGATGGCACTGGGTCGGTTCCAATAAATCAAAAAAAAAGCTTACACGTGACGGAACACTGCACATTTATTAGGAAGAATCGGCGATATTTTTGGGGTAGGTGCAGCGCAAATGCTAGTGTGGATAATTCCATGTCATCCATGTTATTGTGAAGAGTGTTGGTCACATCGGTACTGCTTCCAAGGAACCTGCGCAACTTGCACTCGGGACATTGGATGTGGATTCTTCCATCCAGTCTGCTGCAGCATTTCTTTTTGCAGACGTTGTTTAGGTTGTCCCATCAGCTGTCCCGACGTTCACGCTGCACTGTCACGCGGCAATGCAATCCTCCAGCTCCATTGAAAAGTTTACGGCAAGCTTCTCTGCTCCAGTCCGCTTGCGCTGCTTTTGTCTGGGTGCTCACCACCTTCTAGTTGGACTGGCATTTTTAAAAGAGGAACTGGTCAGAAGTCGCAAGGAAGTTTGCAAGTGCCGGCCCCTCATTGACACCGTATCGTTGCGGAAGACGCCGTGCCGAGCGGTGAAGTGTTTGAACCAGCAGCAACGGAGCTGCTGCTGGTAGCTGTAGTCTATATAACCTGCGCCACATAGCCACAAAATTTTTCAGCCTTTTACTTTTGTCAAACTTTTGTTATCTGTCTAACTGTATAACCCATTAATTTTGTGCGCAATTTCACACTTTCCCTGATCTCTTCCATCAATCCTGTAACCTCCTTTTTGTAATTTTTACCGTACAATTCCGGGGGAGCGCCCAGCCCACTTTCACCGCAAACTCGGTTAATCTAGGCTTGAGCGTTTGTCCAGTCAAATCGGGTGCTTATTGTACACTTTCCAGAATACCCAAGTTTTAAAAAATGTCAATAGTGGGCGTTTGAACCAAGTGGGCGCTTCCGCAGTATTTTACGGTACTTTGCTTCTTGGAACTTGGCACATTTTGGTCAGCTGTTTGAAAACGTTTTATCTCTACTGCCCAAAACACAAAAAAAACGACACGACCAACTATGAGCACGATTTGCTTCCTGCACTCATTATGCCGCATTTCTTCCCCGATGATCGGCCACTGTATTTTCTTCTCTCGGCGGTCCTTCCTTGAAATCGCATTTAATTCCGTCGTAAAGGAACCTACATGGTCTCACCATTTGGAGCAGCAGCTCAACGGTAAATCCAGTTTTCTGTATGCCCGTCACTGGAGAGCCGTAAACAGCAAGCAATGCGCGCATCGTCTTGCTCTTTCTCAAAAAAGGCTTCGGCATTGGGGCATGGTTTCGGTCAATCCCCCATCCCACAGCTGTGCCCGTGGTCCCTCAACTTTAGGGAATCGGCCAGATTGAGAAAAAGCTTCCTATTTTGGGATTGGCCATCCCCAGATGGAGTCCCGCTCCGTCGCTTCCCGTCGGCGCCAGACATAGAACATTGTCCTTTGGCTCCGGGATTGTGGGCCAAAATTGGTTCGTAAAGCCTCTCTCCCAGCGGGAAGGCTGGCCATGCTGGGATGGGGGTTAAAGCCGGCTGTGTGCTTTATACCACGTCCTGGGACGGGGGAATATTTTCAGATTTACCAAAATTCTTGCCTGCACCAGCAGGAATGTTTGTAAATTTAAAAAAGTTGTTAATCTGACATTTACAATAATGAGATTTGACTATTTAAAATTCAGCATCAATCGTTATTCACAACCAAAAAATCTCTACAGGAGGAAAATTTTCAAGGCCATCAAGATGACCCAAATGCTCCTAGCACGTTGTTGCAAAGTGGTTAAGCTCAATGCATTCACCAATGTAAAATGATGAAACTTTACTTGCGGCGCGTAATGATGAATTGGAAATGAAACTAGTGGAACCAGGGAAACAAAGCCACCGAGCATGGCAGAAGTGTGCACGTGCTCCGGAGACAGAAAAAGGCTATTGCGAAAGCCTCAGTTCTAGGTCTTGCGAAGCAAGAAAATTGTGGTACTGAGGTAAAAAAAGAGCAAAATTAACCCAGCACATTGTTTTGGGACGGCCTGAAAGGCAAACGGGTAATTGGGTGTTCCAAATGCGAACAGCCGGGAAAAGGTATGAATGTATTTAGCCTGGCTCAACGGGATCTTTGGTGTTTGTAAGCAGCCCGCAGGTGCACCTTGAGAAGGAAATTGTGGCAGCCCACGTGGAAGGGTCCAACCTGGACCCAGATGCCAAGCACGCTGTGCGGAGCCACCTGCCAGCGGAGCAGAACAACGGGCCAGCCAGGAGGGCCCTGCTGCCTTCCAACAGAGTGGCTCCTGGCGGACCAAGCATGGGTCAGTGCACGTCATTTCTTACCCCATCATTTCGAGTTGCACCACATTAAATGTTTCCCCCAGTACTCCTTCACTCCCAAACACAAACGGTTTGTGGTTCCTGCCTCGTTGAAGGGGACATGCCACGTGCATGGTACAAACTTGTTAATAGCTGCATAGGTAGAGCGCTTGTCAAGTTAGATGTTGCCTCACTAAAATCACTTGGGACATTAGGCTATTTTTGCACCGTTGGCATTGTGCATCTTGTGCTGCGCACGAGACTGCCGTGGAATGTGTGGGTTTATGCAACTAGGTTTGAAAGCAGTTCGCTCAGCCGAGATACATTTTGGAGCCACATGCATGCGGAGTGGTTTGCGCTTCAAAAAAAAAAAGTCAAATTTGGGGGTTTTACGTGCCAAACCTACGACGGGCATTTGGCACGCCCCAGTGGAGGACTGAGGATTAATTTCGACCCCCTGGGCCGGTTTGCTCATCTTGCGGCTGCGGTCGCGGCTGCGGCCAGGAGGGATTTTTACGTCACATGACCAGCTCCATGGGGACAAGGAAGTACCTAGCGTCCCTGCCTTATGGCGGAGTGATCCGCATCGCTTCAAGCACAAAAGCCTAATTTCGCTCGCAGAAACTGATTGCAGGGACTTTCATCTGGAATCTAATGGACCGCCCCTTTATTCTGTAGGAGCGGCAGGTAAAGTTACGGCCAGGGAGGGTAAATAGGAGCCAAAATAAAGAAGAAACCACAGGAGATAAAAGCGGTAGCAGTATATTTATCTACCTCCGCCGGGGCCGGTGCCTCGTCCCTGCTGCTATGGTCGCCATTCTTCTTCCGGCACTCGAAGTGAGCGGACGACTAATCATGAGCTCCTCCGGAGCGGCGATAGCGGCCCAGCCGGGCCGCGGTGATAGGTATGATGCTGACACATTGGACTACCAGATAATCCTGCCTCCACTGCCGACTGGCTCTGCGGTGTTGAACACCTTTTTTCTGCATGCCGACGTCCGTGGGCACCCGTATTGCGTCGAGGACTTCCGTGACACCCTGGCCCAACTGGTATTGCTCCCCGAGGTTCTCGCCTTGGGGGCGTACCAAATGAACCACGTCTGGGCCGCGACTTTCAAGTCATCGGAGGGGAAGCGGAGAGCTCTCGCGGCGGGCGACCTGGTCGTGAAGGGGAAGCGCTGCCTAGTCATCGATCCAGGCAACCGAGACGTCCGGCTCAAGCTGCACTGGCTGCTTTTCCACGCCCCCGACGACGAGGTGAGGGTCGCTCTTTCACCTTATGGCAAGGTCATCGAGGTCGGGACTGAGAAGTGGCGGGTGCAGGGCGTGACGGGCTGCGGGTCCATGACGCGTACTGCCGTCATTCGGCTCAAGCCTGGAGTCAGCCTAGATGACCTGCCGCATCAGCTGAAGATCGCCGGAGGGTTGGCGCTAGTTGTGGCTCCGGGCAGGGCACCACTCTGCTTGCGTTGCCAGCGGACCGGTCACATCCGCCGTGAGTGCCGGGTGCCAAAGTGCGAAAGCTGCAAGCGGTTCGGTCATGACGCAGATCACTGCGTGAGGACGTACGCAACGGCCACAGGCCCCGGTGGGAGCGAAGCTAACGCCGAGCTCGTCATGGACGAGGCAGATGCGGAGGCGGCGAACGAGGGGGTGGCTACCGCCAGCGAGGCATCGGATGGCATGGCAAAGAGTGACGCTGTCCGACCCGCGTCAGAGCGTCCACAGACGTCGACTGGCACACCACCGTTCAAAGTGACCGCAACGACGCCTAAGGAGGCGACTTCGAGCAAGGACGAGGTGACAGTGCCGCCAAGCAAGACGACGCCAGCGAAGGAAACCGAGGCGCAGCAAACCAACGAGGTCCACATGGCTGGCGCTGGCCGTAAAGCGGCCACTACAGCAGGACCCAGATTCGTCCAAGGGCAGCAGTGTCTCGAGCTTCTCGGAGCCGCCAGCGAAGACGGTGCCGCAGAGGCGAAAACCGACGCTAAAGCCATCACCAAGCCCTGCGCCCGATCCCAGAGGTCCAGACAAGCCCACCGGCTGACGCAGCACTGAGTCATATGGTGAGGGTCTTTAGAGTTTGCGAGTCCATGAGCCGCGAGGACGCCTAACCTTGTCGATAAGCTGAAGGTAGCAACGCTCAACATCCGAGGCTTTGCCTCGCGACGTAAACAATACCAGGTGAAAAGGCTCCTAATCGACAATGGCATTGACGTCCTCGCGATTCAGGAGACCAAGGTAGAAGGCGAGGAAGAGACCGCACTCCTGCTGGCGCCGTTTTTGCACAGTTTTGAAGTTTGTGTGTCGCAAGCAAGCGGCTTATCCGGAGGTTGTATGTTGTTTTTCAGGAAATCTTTAAATGCACTTGTCAAATCTGTAATAGTTGACAGCGATGGTCGGTTTGTTATTTGTGATTGCAGTATTAACGATGTTGAGTATAGAATAATAAATCTGTACGCGCCGAACGAAACAAATGCAAGGAAAAAGTTTTTTCAGCGCATTTATTCATTTTTAGACTGTCAACGAAAACTTATGTTGGGGGACTTCAACTGCGTTTGCGACGCGAGGGATCGTTCTAGTAGAACACGACACTCCGATAGTAGTACAAGAATTTTAAACGAAATGACAACGGAATTTACCTTACAAGATGTTGCAAAATATCAAAGTTACGCAAATTTATGGTTCACCCATTTTCAGTCCACGAGTCATGCTCGCCTTGACAGAGTATATGTGTCAATTGAACTTTTAACTGGATTTGATGATTATAATGTGTTGCCAGTTTATTTTTCTGACCATGCACTGGTGTCTTTTGTTGTGGGAGGGAAAAAGATGAAATCTAGTTTTTGTTGGGATCTGTGGAAACTTAACAACAACCTCCTCGAAGATGAATTGTTTAATGAGATGGTGGATAACTTAATCAGCGGGATGCTGAATGTAAGTGTCAGCGCGAGCGAGCGATGGGAGTGGTTTAAACGCGAGGTGAAATTATGTGCTATGGAACGTTCCCCCACGCTTGCCTATTGGAAGAGGGCCGAGGAAAGGCTACTAAAGGAAGACCTCCGTAGACTATGTCACCTCGAGAGCGAAAATCCGGGAGGGTTTGAGGCCCAGCTTAAGCAAGTCAAGGACAATATTGCGCAATTATAAACAGAAAAATATAAAGGGGCTCTGATACGTGCTCGCGCTGAGAAATACATTCTTGGTGAACAACCAACCAAACGGGCATTAAGCGCCGAGGCGAAATATGTGAAAAAGAAACAAATTGTAGAAATAGAACACGGTGGATTGCTCAGCAGTCGTCCCGATGTCATAGAAAAGGCATTTACTGAGTATTATCGCAACCTCTTCGCGCACAAAAGGCACGGGAGTGACTCGCAGCTCGCTGATTATCTTGCGGTGATGCCGCGGCTAAGCGACGAGATAAAGGAGCGACTGGAAGAGCCAATAAGCGTGGCCGAGATCGAGAAAGCGATTGACGAACTGCCGGCAAAGAAATCTCCGGGTCCCGACGGTTTGACTGCAGCTTTTTATAAGAAATATAAACATGTCGCCACCAAGCACCTTCACGCAGTAATAACCGAGGCATATGAGACGAAGCAATTACCACCGTCATTTATGAACACGCATACGGTACTTATCCCCAAGGAGGATGACGAATACAAGCTAAAAAATATAAAGAATTACGGGCCTATAGCACTTGGCAATGTCGACTATAAAATATTAATGAAAGTATTAGCCCGCCGATTGCAAAACGTCATAAGTGAAATCGTAGGGGACCATCAGACATGTGGAATTAAAGGGAGGTCCATTTTAACAAATGTTCACGTCGCGAGGAGTATACTAGAGCTTTGCGATGAAGATCTAGATCAGGTTGCCATGCTCCAGATTGATCTGGAGAAGGCATTTGACCATGTGCAGCATCAGGTACTTTACAAAATATTAGAGTAGGTACGAGTAGGCGAACTTCTAATCAGCTTTGTTCAAATGGCATACACGGGGTGCACTACACAGCTTATAATCAACGGTAATATAACCACCCGTATCGGGGTTAACTCATCAGTTAAGCAAGGATGCCCTTTATCTCCATTGTTATTTAGTATTTATTTGGAGCCGTTTTGTAGAAAAGTAATCAAAAATAGTAAGATTATTGGTTTTTCCCTTCATAATATCGAGGTCAAACTTTTGTCGTACGCAGATGATGTTGCTCTATTTTGTAAAGATAAGAGTAGTATTGCCGAAGCTACGCGGGAGGTGAAATCGTTCTGTGAACTGACCGGAGCGGCAGTTAACTGGCAGAAGTGTTGTGGCCTCTGGCACGGTACATGGGCCACGAAACCCAAAGTTTTTCAGGACATAAATTTTATGACCACCCCGCCTAAATATCTGGGTGTTCCACTACAACATTACAAAAGGTCTAACACTTATTGGTCGATGGTAGTTAAGGAAACGCACGAGAAGGCTGGTAAATGGGGAGGGTGGGAGATGTCTATCTTTACGCGCGCCACTGTTTGTAATATTTTTTTAGTAGCTAAATTTTGGTACATTCTTCAAGTTTTGGCATGCGCTCGAGTAAACATGCAAAAACTACATTGTATCTTTGCTGTGTTCATCTGGCGGTCCAGGTGGGAAAGAATATGTCGCGATAATCTGTTTCGTCGCATGAGTAAAGGAGGGCTTTCATTATCACATGTGTTCATCAAGCAAATAGTTTCGCGTTTTATGTTTCTTAGGGACCAAAGTAATCCTTTTCTTCGCACTATCATTCAGACAAGACTGCCAGAGGAAATTCCTTCTTTTGTCGTTTCCACATATTGTCGCCAACAGCATAGAATTGGTAGTTTTCTGAGCGAAGTGGTAGACGCGTACCGTTTTTTGTGTGTCCGTTTTTCCATGGAATATTTGTCTACTGTCACGCGCAAGCGTTTATCTCGTGACATTATTGAAAGTGTTTTTCCCGAACCAGTGTATCGTTCTATGTTCCATGCAGGCCCCGGACATGATGTTTTGTGCAGGGTTAAAAAGATGGTCGTCCAGCCTTCCATAAAAACATTTTTCTTTCAGCTACACACAAACGCGCTTCCAGTGAAAACTTGGCTCGAACAGAAAAATATTTTTGTACCATGGGGTGTTCACTGTTTTCTGTGCAAAAAGCCTGAAACTGTGGAACATGTATTCTTAGACTGCTAAGATGCCTTCCTTTTTTGGGATGTTCTCCAGCGAACTCTTAAAAAAGACTTGGCTTTATCGCCACACGGCATAAGGTTCCTTCCTGTAGCAAAACATGATGATATCCCTGTAGATTTGGTCATGCTCTTGGGCCTGCATGCAATATGGCAGAGCAGAATGGCTGTGCAGCACGCTGATGTTAACGCGCGCCCTGTACGGTCGTATTTTATAGAAAGTGTCCACAGACTGAAATTGGTGTACGCCACAATGATCTGCCCTCCTGATTGGGTGTCCATTCTTGATGTACTGGAGAATGTGAAGGAATTTTAAACTTTCATGCTCGCGCACCCCACGTCGTGCATGTGATTTTAACATTGTGATTACTTTTGTATTCTCTTGTCCAAAGAGACAATTAAAAAAAAAAAAACTGCTGCTATGGTTGAGAGGTTTAAGCGCCGGTACTTGTCGTCGCAGCGTGAAAGTTCCGGGTTCAAATCGCGCTAGGGACTTTTTTTTTTCTGTTTTTTTTTTTTTTTTTTTTTTTTGTATTTTGTGAGCGTCTTACTTTTTAGCTGTGATCCTTTTTAGGAAATCATCCACTTGCACTACTGCGCCTTACACGGTTTTTTCTGTTACCGGGTAAAGCCACCGGTCTGCAGACCGGTGGCTTCGCTGCGTTTCCATAGGAGCTAAGCCTTCTTCTTTCTTTACTTTTTCCTCAGGCAAGTTCGCTTTTTGCAAATTTTACGAAAAAAATGCACCATCTGTAGGCAACGCTGCACAAAGTCGTAGCGTGATAGGTTAAGAAACCGAATTTTGCGGTCGATTTAAAGAGCCTGCCGTCTTCTTGTTTCACCCTGTACTTTCTCAGACGTTTGACTTGCTGCCTTGCCTGTAGGATTTCGCTCAATCAGTGTAGCCACAGTTGCTAGTCTTTTTTTCTTCTTCTTCTTTTTGCTTGTTTTTTTTTTTTTAATTGTCACAGCTGCAGTTTTTATTAGTCCTAAATAGGCGTCTCTTGTTATTGAAAGGAATCGTAGCAAGAGCGTTGTATATTTAAAAACACTTAAAACTAGTTGCTGGGGAAAGGATTGCTTGTTTCGGCTCCGTTAGTGTGAAAGCCATAGCGATGCTGTTATCTTGGTTTCCTTTTAATGAACATGAAATGATTGTATTAGCGCGTTAACTTGCATTGATCCTTTTTTCTTTTTCTTCCCGGTGTTTCAATTGAACAGGTGGGACTAACAGTAAAAACCGTGTAAGGCGCAGTAGTGCAAGTGGATGATTTCCTAAAAAGGATCACAGTTAAAAAGTAAGACACGCGCAAAATACAAAAAGAAAAAAAAGAAAAAAAAAAGAAGTCCCTAGTGCGATTTGAACCCGGAACTTTCACGCCGCGACGACAAGTACCGGCGGTTTAACCTCTCGACCATAGCAGAACTTTTTTTTTTTTTTCTTTATTGCCAGGTAGTTACAGCAACATTCATGTCATTCTAACAGCACTGCACAGCTCTTTTGCACAACGTATTAAAAGTCACGCATTTCGAGGAGTGATTTTAAAATACTACCGTAATATCCCGAGTCATCGCCCATCCCCGAGCCATCGCCCACCCCATTTTTTGGGCCAATATCGATTTCCGAAAAAACACCGAGTCATCGCCCACCCCTTCAAATACCCCAGCGCGGACTCTGCGATCCGCGAACACTCATCCTACCCGAATGACGCGGTCGCGGACCTTACAGTTGGAGGACGTCCGTGACAAAGTAAAACGAAGGAGGGAAAGACACTTCTTTTTGTTTACGCATTTCCTCAGTGAGCGACCCCAAAGTGGTCGTGTATCCGTGCGAAAAGAAAACGATGGAGATAACAAAATAAGAGTTTGTTAACGTAACCGCGGAGTGTTAGGTCAAAGTCTGTCTCCGCCGAAGGTCACCGCGAACCCGCTCCTTCTTCCCGCCCGTCGCGACCGCGGTTGTGCAATATTTTAGGCAAAGCCAAAGCGTAAATAAAGCTTTGCTGGAACGTCCTACATAGACGTTTGCAGAGCGTCCCAACCGTGCATTGATAGCCCGCCGTGCACGGACGCACGTATGTACGCACCAAACAAGTTGCGCAAGAGCTTGCAATTGACAAGGCGCCCGACTTGGCCCGACGCCAAAGTATTTGCCAACGCGACCGCCGGCTTTCCCGCTTTCCCAGCATTGCTCTTGGTCGCTTCTTTGGTCCGCTCGCTCGTTGCGCCTGGTCGGTTTTTCTATTTTCTTGTAGACTTTTCTTTCTTTTTTTTTTTTACTAACTAGGAGAACATAATGGTGACATTCTTTTACGGAGCAAACGTTCGCGCTATATGCAGATCGGCGGTGTTTCTAGCGCGTATGCAAGCAACGGACTTCGCTATAGTAAAATATTCTTTCGTGAGCATTTTTTCTATAAAACAATGAAACTAAATCGAGTTTTGAGTTTGATGTATCTCTTGTGCATCAGCGCTAGATACGCAGAGAAAAATAGGCGGTTTTTTCCGCCTTTTTTCAAGTGTTTGTGCTCACCCACCGAGATATGGCCCACCCCACTTTTTTAACGAATTTCAGGCGGTAGGGCGGTGGGCGATGACTCGGGATATTACGGTAGTCCACTCCGGTTCAGGTTCACAGTTCAAATACACACTCTGTACTTGTTTTACAAGGTTGAAGAAATATATCCGCACTTCTTTTGCGTCGAGGTCAGCATGTCGAACAGCCATACGTGATCTCCAAATGCTGCACAAAGCTAACAACATAATCATGTCATAAGGAACTTCATTATCATTATCCACACTAAGGAAACGTATCCCTGTTGGGGTTACAGGTAATTCTTTCTTTAAAGTGCGTTGGAGGACATCCCAGAAAAATACCGCGTCCCAACAAAAAATAAACACATGTTCAATAGTCTCAGGTTTTTTACATAGAAGGCAATTTACCGACCATGGCACATAGATCCCTCTTTCTTTAAGCCAAACCTTAACTGGCACGGTATTCGTGTGTAATTTATAAAAGAAAGTCTTAACAGCCGCGGGAACACACATCCTTTTTACACGTCTAAGCACATCGTGGCCATGTTGGGACACAGTTCGATACAAGGGCATGGGGAAAACACTCACAACTAAATCGCGATAGAGCGTTTTTTTACTGACATCACAAAGGTAATTCAAAGAAAAACGTGCTGTCAGAAACCCCATCGTGTCAACAACTTCTTTCAAAAAACCAGTGATTCTTGTTGGCTCGCCGCCATGAGAAGAAACAAGAAAAGATGGCAAATGGGGTGACACTTTTGTTTGGATCAGTGTGCGAATGAACGGGTGCTCTTGGTCTCTCAAAAAAAAGAAGCGTGACACAAGCTGCTTGACAAAAAGGTGGGAAAGCCCCACGCCACCGTTACAAACTCGATGAAAAAGATTGTCTCGTCTCATCGGCTCATACTTCGAGTTCCAAATAAACGTGGCGAAAATTCGATGAAATTTTTGAACATTAGTTCGCGCACAATGGATGACCTGAAGAACATACCAGAGCTTCGCAATAAGAAAAACGTTACAAACAGTCGCTCGGGCAAAAATGGACAGCTCGCGTTGCTTCCAACGAGAAGCACGCTTGTCCAGGTCGATAGCGACACCCGACCAGTACGTTTGGCTATTCCGGAAACTTTGCAATGGCACCCCGAGGTACTTGCACGGCACTGTGTCCCAGCATACACCCTCAAATTCTGAGGGTGTAGTGGCCCAAGCACCATGCCAGAAACCACGGCACTTTTCCCAGTTTATAACAGCACCAGTAGCGTGGCAAAACCTTTTAGCCAAAGTTATGACTTCGGTAACGCTTTCTTTGTCCCTACAAAAAACAGCAATGTCATCGGCGTAACTCATTATTTTTACTTCTGCATTATAAAATTGGAAACCTCGGACACGTTGACTATTTTTTACGCTTAAACAGAAAAGCTCTAAATACAAATCAAACAAAAGGGGAGACATAGGGCAACCTTGTCGTACCGACTCTCGTACGTTAATAACAGAACTGAGCTCTTTGTTCACTATAAGCCTTGTTGTACAGTCCTTATAGGCCATCTTTACACCTTTTAGGATGGCGTCACCAACATTGACATGACTCAAAACATCAAAGAGTACATCATGGCTAACACGGTCGAATGCCTTATCTAGATCTATCTGTAGCACTGCAACCTGCATGGTGCTGTCACTGCAGGCCTCCAGGACGCTACGAGCCACATGCACATTTGTCAAGATAGTCCTCCCCTGTATCCCACACGTTTGATGCTCGCTTATTATCTCACATGCGACACCTTGAAGGCGACGCGCCAGAATTTTCGCGAAGATCTTGTAATCGGTATTGCATAGCGTTATTGGGCGATAACCGGTGACGCTGCGCAGTTTCACGGGGTCATCAGATTTCGGTATCAGGACAGTGTAGGCACGAGAAAACGAAAAGGGCAAACATTCTCTTTCATAGGCAGTATGAATGACGTTCAAAAAAACACTAGCTATTAGGCTCTTAAAGTTCTTGTAAAATTCTGCGCCCAATCCATCCGGTCCCGGCGTCTTAGAGTTCGGCAGGTCGTCGATTGCGCGCTCCACTTCTTGGATCGTAATTTCTTGCTCAAGCTCTTCGCGTTCATCATTCGATAGCCTTGGCAGATTTTCTAAAAGCTGGGCATAAATGTCCGTATGACACCCTTGCGCTTTGTTAGCAAAAAGCTGTGCGTAATGCTCGAGGAAGGCCTGTGCTATTTTCTCGGGATCCGTAGTAATCATTTGCTTGAATCCAATTTCGGTTATTTCGTTCCGAAGTGCGTAACGCTTCTCGTCTGCCAAGGCACGCTTAGTGGGCTGCTCGCCCATTGTGTATTTTTCTGCACGGGCGCGCACTACTGCACCACGATAGCGCTCGCGGTGGAGCTGATCTAATTTTTCTCTGACATATTCCACGTCTTTTACCCCATTACCGGGTCTTTCGCACTCTGCTTTACATAGCTCTATCAAGTCCTTATTTAAACTGCGTTCCTCACACCGCGCGTTGTACGAAAGAATTGACGACCTCTCAATGGCGATTGCCTTAATTTCTTGTTTTGCCAGTTCCCATTTCTCGAAAATGTCCCCTCCCGGCTCTTTAAAAGCATCTTTCAAAAACTGTTCTGCGTTTTTTAGAAAGACATTGTCTTTCAGAAGCTTTATGTTTAGTTTCCATAGGTTCCAATTAAACTTTTTCTTTTCAAGTGCTCTGTCGCCTATCGTCGCGATAACCAGACTGTGGTCCGAGAAAAAGACTGGAGTGACACGGTACTTTCCTAAATGTTCTGCTAGAGGGGCAGAAACATACACCCTGTCCAAACGCGCACTGGACGACGCTTGAAAATGGGTAAAGCGCATTTCCTTCTTCGCGTTTTTTACAGTGCCCACATCAATCAGGTCATAATCCTCCAACATTTCGCCCAAAAGTAGTTCACTCTTATCAGCGTTCCGTCTTATTGGTGATCTATCCAACTGTCGTACAACACAATTAGTCACCCACAAGGACTAGAGCTCTATCGCAATCAAGATACCGACGTAAACCGCCAAAAAATAAAACGCGGTCAGTGGTCACATTTGGGGCATAAATGCAAATAAGCCTGAATTGATTTGACATTAGCACAAAATCACACATAATGAAACGTCCTTCAGTGTCCGTAGTAACGCATAACTGCGACAGCGGTACCGACTTCTTCAGAAGCAGGAAGCACCCTGCCGAATGACCAACTGCATGCGTCACACAGATTTCATAGTTAGGCATGAAAGGTCTGACTGCTTCCTCTACCTGTTCCGCCTCAGCCAATTTAGTTTCTTGCAACGCCAAGAAATCGGGTTGCTCTTTCGACAATAATCGCTGTATTTGGTACTGCTTTTTCCTAGTGCATAAACCACGAACATTCAGCGTTGCAACCGTAATGGCTGATTGGGACTCACAAATCATGCGCTGTGCTTCGGTGCAGACACTAAAAACCTAAGCAGTCAGGGTCGAAGTTGTCTTGATGCAGCAATCTTAAACACCAGGGAACCAGGCAAAGAACGCCTTACTTGCTTTCCCTGCGCCGACGTTCCTCTTTAGGATCGTTGGGCGCGGGCTGGTAACGCCCCTTCTTCGTGCGTTCCATCCAGGGGTGTAGTTGGCGTGCTTCGTTTCCTGCTGCCGTATCGTCATCGAAGGCTCGCTTAGTTGACTCGCTGGTGTCGTCCATATCTGAAGGTCCGTTGGTGCTTGCGTCGTTCGATTCCTTGTCTGCTCCGGCATCAGAGGGTTTCACGTCGGCACCGCTGGGAGGTGCGCCTTCCGGTTGACCTCCGTTCTCTCTGGCTGCCTCCAATAAGCTGTTTCCTTCACTCTTGCGTTCTTTGGCAGGGGTTGAAACTTCTGGCGCCAAGCCCTGGATAGTACGCTCCGCTTCCTCGGCATCCATGGCGTGGTCATTGGTCTCGGCCGTCCCGGCCCCGCTGGCCACCCTGGCGTACGACCTGACACACTCGGTGCCATAATGCCCGAAGCGAAAACACTCCGAGCACTTCGGCGCCCTGCATTCTCGTCGAATATGACCTGTGCGCTTACAGCGTAAGCACAAGGGCGCCCGACCAGGGATCACAACAAGTACGTTACCACCCTGGATCCGAAGCTGGTGTGGCATGGTATCGGCCGTGCCGCCTTCGTTCAGCGTCATCCGCGCACACCTGGTCGTTGATTCGATCCCTTGGAAGCCTTCAACATTCCACTTCTCCCGGCTCACTTCCAGTACCTTGCCATACGGCTCCAATTCCTTACGCACAACGTCGTCCGGCACATCATACGGGATCCAGTGGAGTCGAAGCCGTAACTCCGTGATGCTGGGATCCACGACGAGGCACCGAAGACCCTTCACCTGCAGTTCTTTGGCGTCCACGAGTCGTCTTTTTGCTTCTGCCGTTCGGAGGGTAGCCATCCAAACATGATTCATTTGGTACGCACCGAGTGCTGCGATGTCGCCGAGTACGCCGCACCTGGCCATCTCTTGTTGAAAATCCTGGATACGGTAGGGGCGCCCTTTCAAATCGCAATGCAGAAGCACCGATGTTTCACTCGTAATTCCTGTGGGCATCTGTGGTAAAACAATTTTATAGTCATCGTTCGTCGATTCACCGGAGTGATTAGAACCGCGGCCAGCAAGGGCCGTTGCAGACGCTTCCACGGAGCTCATGTTTCGAACGTCTTGCACGTTCGGCACGCGCGCTCGCACCGACCATAGCAGAACGCGCGAAGCGCCGGCGGAGGTAGATAAATATGCTGCTACCGCTTTTATCTCGTGTGGTTTTTTCTTTATTTTGGCTCCTATTTACCCTCCCTGGCCGTAACTTTACCTGCCGCTCCTACAGTAAAACGGGGCGGTCAATTGGACTCCAGTTGAAAGTCCCTGCAATCAGTTCCTGCAAGCGACATTAGGCTTTTGTGCTTGAAGCGATGCGGATCTCTCCGCCATTAGGCAGGGACGCTAGGTACTTCCTTGTCGCCATGGAGCTGGTCACGTGACATAAAAATCCCTCCTGGCCGCGGCCGCAAGATGAGCAAACCGGCCCTGGGGATCTTTGGACGTGCAACCGAAAGCTCGGTTACACGGCGCCTTCTCCAACGGTTTGCGCTTCACTTTGCTAACTAGGAGAATGTTTTCAAGCACAGCCTCAAGCACTTTACTACTGGTATGTGGTACAAACTGAATAAGTCATTTTCACATCACTAATAGAAGGCAGCAGTTGAGGCAGAAATAGAATTACTGTATAGTAGGAACGCCCAAACTTCCAAGTGCCTTCCTGCGGGTAAATCGAGCAGCAATTGAATACAAACCCTCCATCCGGCTGCTTACATAGGAAAATGGCATTGGTCATGCCTAAGTTGCTCATTAGAAAACCAGACAAGAAACTTGTTTGCCTGAAACAAGTGGGATATGCCTAGAAGTTTTGTGAATCATCATGTTAGCTATGGGCTAAATGGGCTTTGCACACGAGAACTACAGGAAAAATCACTGTTTCTGCCATCAACAACGATGCATTCCAAAACGAGATCACTTTTCCAAACTGTGCATGCAGCACAACAAATATTTGAGAATGTTTCTTAACAAGATTTGTGCATGAAAACCTTGTTAAATAATGCATAATAGACAAACTGCTGTGTACAATGTAACAGTTTGCCTAAAACAAGTGCAATCTTTCTTTCAGAAGATTCAGCTCCCCTTGAACAGCAGCAAGGCAGACTACGATTCAAGCTATGCTGCAACTTTTAGGAAGTGCCTTTGTGCAGTACTCTGTGCCCTTCTAACACTTTTGGGGATCTTTTTAACACTATTACATGTACCCAAGCAATCACCTTTTCTAGTCGTTTTTGAACTAATATATCATGTCCAGCACAATTTCTCTAGGTATAGTCAAGCAGCCATTTTTGCAGTACACCATTTCTACAAAGTGTTCTGCACTGAAGAAAAGTGTGGAGGCCAGTTCATGGAGAAGTACTATTTATTCTGATATGTGTATTCGTATATGCATTCCAGCATTTCTATACAAGTTGTACTGAAACTTTGCAACTAATGAATTTGTAAGCATGTAGTATCATTGCGCCTGTAACGTGGACAGCCATGCATTTAAACGCAGCACCAACATGCTGCTCCTGTGTCAAATTGACTACCCTTCTGTTTTCCTGAATGTAAAAATAACTTCCATGTATTAAAATCCTCATTCATGCCATCAACCTCCTGCAACATGTGTTTGTGAAATGTATTTTGTTACGTCGAAGATGTTCATCAAAGAGAGTGAGAAAACAACTTCAAAATTTTACAGCACTTTTAAGTTACACTGGCATTTCTTTCTAAAGGGGGGACACTACCCAGAAAAAAACAATTTTTGCAAAAAAAAAAAAGTTGATTTTGAAAAAATGCCATATTTACATCCACCAACATCTAAAGAGTATTCCCAGAAAGTTTAATTAGTTTACACTGCATAGTCAATTTTTTATAAATTATTTTCGGTCCACCGATGCCAAGGAAGAGGCAGGGGTTGAAGCACTTTGAATACACTTTTCTCGGTTCCGCTTTTCGGCATTAATTTCACTTTAGAAGACTTATTGTTTGCCTATTATGCAATAGAGAGTTATTCTTAGGTGGCTTTCTGGGATAGAATTTTGTGAGGAACATGCCTGGGGATGGTTAGTTTTTCTACTTTTACATTCTTTTATGCTAAAACAAAACATTTGTAAAAAAAAGCGCAGACATGAAAAAAAAAGTGTAATCTTGTGGAGTTAAACTTATGAAAAACATTGCAATATAGCAAAATAGCTAGCTGGATATGTGCTATGGGTATTCCTATGACTATATTAGGCATAAAAATCACAAATTTGTATTTTATTTTAAAACAATAGTTTTCCTAAGCGAACACACTGACTTCCATATTGTAACATTTGTAACAAGTTTCAAAATTGACATAGGACTATGAAATTTAACAGGGATGGTCTTGCCAATCATATAAACCTACACTGCAAATTTGATTGAAATCGAGCAAGCGGTACAGAAGTTGACTTTTCTGAGTAGTGTCCCCTTTTAAAGGGGAGAACCTGGTTTTCAACATGTTTTTTCGTCAGTTCTTATCCAATGTATAACATCTCACCTAGAGTAATCATTTTGTACTAAGCACATAGATAAGCTCACTGTCATCTTATAGTTCTCAGGAAAGTACTGAATCTATCACACGTTTCTGCCTCACTTCTTTACCCATCAAAAACTATGCCACAAAGTATGTCTGCATGCCCTGGTAGAGAGCACAACAAAATCATTCTTATAACTTTAGCATCATTCTAGAAAAAATTATTATGTTGAAATTCCTTCGCTGATAAATTAGTCATTAAAGTCTTTACCAATTAGAAAATGTTGGAGCTGACATTTTCTGCACTCTGATTTATGACATATCCAACCCTGCAAAAAGTATTCAGATGCAAGATATTGTGCACACAAGTTTCTGTTGTGATGAAAAAATAAATTCTTAGAAAACGGGAACAAGTTTTCAACACATGCTCGTAAACAACCTGGATATAAAACTTTGAATCGACATAATATAAATGGGCGTTTTTTAAGTGTAGCAATTAGAAATTATGTTGGAACTTATAAAGCAACAAGACAATTTATTTTTTAGGATTAGAGTTTCTCCTTAAGCAGTTTGGTTTGATTCAAGATTCACGCTCCTTTTTGCTGAATGGAAGACACCGTTACCTCCAACTCTTTTTCAACAATGCTTACACAGTGATCCTGTCGAGGGGCTGGGAAATCCTCTTTTTGGACAGAAACTTATTCACTCTTTACACACATTTGGAATGCTATGCAATACTGCAGAACAAGCTTGTGCCTGCCCTAAAAACTTGCACCACGGGCAAACAAAAACCACTTTTTTTTTTTTTTTGTGCACATTCCCATCTGGCGTCAGAATGCTACAGCCACAAACTATGGGAGCACAGGACAGCAGAGCCCCACACACAAAATACCGGGCTGAAAGGTCTTGCGAGTGGTTTGGCTCGACTTGTTCCCGGTCTTTTGGGGAGGAGAGCTGACAGCAGAGACTGGACATAGCTGATGGTCTTTGTGCGACACATAGCCGGAGAACCATATTATGCTTCCATGTCCCACAATGAGAAGAACGTATCTGTTGCTTTGCAACATACCCTTGCAGCTATGCATGTTGCTTTGCAACATACATACCTGTATGTGCTCTCAAATCTCCTTTGGATTTCCGTTTGTCGCCGTTCGAGAGATTGGTTCACTGGGGCATGTGAAAAAAAAGGAACAGCTGGACAAACACATCTGGAGGTCAAACCTCCTGGCTGAAAGTGGTGTTGCCACAGGATGTACATCCATTTTTCAAAGCTGTGCCAACAGCTTGGGAGTATTGACTAGAGCTGGAGACTAGACGAGAGCCATCAGACCTCATCCCAACGTCTAGCGTGGTAGAACCGGATGGGTACAATCACTGGAAGTCCAGGGAGTCCCAGGCACTCCGTCGAGCAGTCTCCATTGTGTCCGTCGAGTTTGTCCCCACTTCTGCGACAAAAGCGGTGGTATTACATTGTCGGTCCTAGCTGGCTTGCTCCCGGTGTTTTGCCAAGACCTGCGCAAAGTTACGCTTGTTAACAGTCATGCGAATAGCGCCGATGGAGTCGAACAGCACGTCGGAATTCATGTCCTCTGGCAGCTTGGTCAAGAACTGGGCAAGGTTGATGAAGTCTAGTTGCAATAGGACTTGTTCGTAGAGCCGCATGATACCTGAAAGAAGGCTACCTTTAAGGGCACTCGATCGAGTTGGGAGATCGTGTGAGCTTACCCAGTGCCGACCTAAACAGGAATTCTTCGCCGTCTCTCAAGAAGACATCCCAAACTCTGCTGGCCACATCCAGCGGCAAAGACCGGCTGTACAACGTGTAGATCCTGCAGTGGTGACAGTCTCGACTGGGGGCCCTGGCCAGGGCTCCGAGCCAAGATTCTGAGACACTCACCAGTCCACGAGGTACAGGTCTGACGTGAGACTGTGTTTCTGGAAGTGTGCAAACAGCTTGGGCAGGTTCTCGCGGAAGAAGTCCTCGTACAGAGTGTAGTAGGCGTTCATCTGCAAGGTAGCTTTAGATGAGACATTCATCCAACTTTTGTTTTTAATGCGCCCTTTTGTCTCTGACCTTAGAAACCTTTGGGTGCCTTAACTCTATAACTGGTACTTAGCTAGAGTTGTGAGCACACGTAGCCTTACAGTGTTTTTTTTTTTTTTTTTTTTTTTTTTTTTTTAAGGGGGGACATGGCCTGGGAGGGTCAACTTTTGAACCATTGTCTCAAAGTGATTCAAACTTTCAGGGTGAATTGAACCCCATTAGGATTGGTGAAATCTAAAGTTTCAGTCTTATAGGCCAATTCTACAACATACTATGCTTAACAAGCTTCAGAAAAAAGTTACTTTATTAGGAAATGTATTTAAGAAAAATAATAATTGCAATTCATAAAATGTTTGGTTTAATGTGAAGTAGAATACCCACAGTGCAAGTTAAGGTAAAAATTAATTGTAGAAAGTGCAATTCTAGAGAAAAACAATAACACCCAAAAAAAGCAAACAATTTTAACAAAATTCTGTGTTTTAAAATATTCAGTTTTTGTCATGAAGAATTTAGCTTTTTCAGATTATGAGTACCTTAACTTGTTCCTCAGGAAATTTCAGTCAAGGACCACTGAATGAAATCTTTGCACTTTCAAAATGTCCAATGATACATTTCCTCGTACCACATTTCCTGCCAAAAAGTGAAACTGAGAAAAATGCATCCGAAGTTTCAACTTTTGGTTCTTCCTTTTCTGTGAGTCCGAGGTAGGCAAAATTCTTCTGGTGCATTGTTAGCACCTTCCTCTTCGAGACTTCCCTGTTCCCCTGGCAATAGCTACCAGTTTGTGTCATTTGTAGGCTAGCTAACGTTTGTAGCAGGCATTCCAATTAACAGATAAACTGGCAAGAACTAAGAGGCAAATCATACTAAGGAAGAGCAGCAAAGCAGGAATATGGTCTGAAGTGGAAGATACTGTGAAAGGGTGTTACTGAAGATGACACAATATCATGTCACTGGGCAGGGCCACTCGTAAACCCTGTTTCGGGTCTCAACCAATAAGATTGCTCATACCAAATTTTCAGAATTTTTTCTGTTTGGATGTATTGGGTCCTCCTAGCCATTGATACTTGTAAACTTGGAAAGCTTCTACGGGCTAAATCTAGAGTAAATGGCACTTCCAATGAGGGTGAGATGTTGTGGCTAGGTTAAACGAGTATGAAGCAGTGCTAAATAAAAAATGCAAAAAGCTTGCTCCCTGCTGACTCGGAGGGCTGCCGACATGTCAAAAATAATTTATTCTGAGATAAATCCTGCGTGTTAACAAATGAAAGTTTCTGAAACCATTCTTTGGAAGTTAATAAGCATAAACATATCATTTTTGAAAAAAACGTTTTTCTCTGAAAATTTTGAATTCCGAGGCCATGTCCCCCCTTAACTCAAACAAAGCAGATGATGCCAAGCATACATAATGTGAAACTGTATAGTAGTGAGGGCCTCGCATCACGCACTACCGTCCAACGCGAGAGAACCTCGCAGCTCCGCCAGTCAATGCATTTCACGAGGCAACATTCCGGCACTTAATTTCAGTTACTGAATCTTGGTGTGGGAGTGGTTGTATTCGAAAAAGAATAAAACATCCGAGTATACATTCTCGTGATTACACTTCTGATTTCGCATTCACCATTTTTCTAAAGGGCCTTCAATTCCGAGATTTAGCTTTTACTTTCAAGCGTCCCAGAAATTAAAGCACAAATAAAAATTCTGATAATGCACCTTAGTATGCAATTTAATTGTGAATCAATATCTGCCAATAGGTTTTACTGGTGCATTGTTATGAAAAGAATTGAGGAAGTCTGATCCAGAACGTATCTCATGCCCCACAGTGGCGCTGTCCCGTGAGTGTGCTTGCTACAAGCCATGTGGCAGTCTGCAACGAGTCGCTGTAGCATTGTACTAGTCCTCCATTAGGAATTCATTATATGCACTGGTGTAGTTCACTTATATTCCACTCTTTATGAAGTGCACTTCAGTCGCCACGACATCATACTGTGTCTCCACCTTGCGGCCAAAATTGTAAATATCCACAAGTATGGATACCCAACATCGTCTGCTGCAGGCGCACGTTCAGAAGCATGGATCTCAACGACCAGAGCCCGTTTCCAGCTGAGCTGCACTCTCCTTATTAAATGCTAGTTTTTGTTGCTGGGTGTGTTCAGATAAGGACAGTCATAGAGGTGTAGTCTCTTTTCAATTAAATTTTAATATGAGGTAGCCAAACTTGTCCACACATCAGAACAGACCCGACCTTTGCTTTTGTGAGAAAAAAAATTGAGCCTGAGAGGAGCTGTAAACAATGCCTTTCCCGATAGTGCATCGACACAACTTTGAGGGCCCCAGGAATAACAAACAAAAACATTCTAAACCAACTTCTAAGAAAGAAAAAATTATAAAAATTCACCAAGAAATGCCTCAAAATTATCAAGTTACTCAAGAAGCAAAGTTTAACTAGCTGAAATTTTTTGTGCAAAGTATTTCATGCTTTGTGCACTTTTTAAAAAAGGTTAGCGTTCTACTGACGTAAGTGTTTTTTTTTTTTACATTGCGCCCCAAAATTTGTCTCAAAATCGAAAAGGTCAAAATTATGCAAACTTTGAGCGGTAATTAAAGAAAATGATCATAGTGAATTTTCTTCAAAGCTCATCCGATGGACCCTTGACAATTGGTAATTCCAGATTGTCGCGTCAGTATCGAGTGCAATCGTAAAAGATCGGTCCCGAAGCGCTTACCAACAGCGCGAATACAGCACTTCCATCAAACGCCCGCGTCCGCTCCGAGTGTGAAGAGGTATTTACATGGCTCTTGCTGACACTCGTAGTTCAAACGTATCTTTTTTAACGTCAGCTCACTCCTGCATCTTTGAGGCCGCGAAAAACGCCGCGGCAATTTGTTTCCATCTACGTCGCTTTGCATACGACTGACACGGGCCGCCTTTTACCAACAATGACAGTTGGGTTAACTTCTGTAGTCTTCACCGGAAGACTCGCTGCACTTCCCAACAGGCATACCGGCGTATGGGACTAGTCCCATGCTGTCGCTGTAGCGCAACATATCTCATTGAATTTCGCTCAGCTGCGATGCGGCGATGAGAGGCGCCGATTCAGAAAATACGTCGGTGACATCAGCGCAGTAAAACCCACCGGCGCACCCCAACTCGTCGCCGCTAACGCTCCCATTCTCCTACTGCCGAGAGAACTTCCGATTCCGGAAACAGCGTACGTCACGGCTTATTTTGCGGTCAGTTGGAGAGAAAGAAAAAGTCGATATTTCATTAATTTTTTGTGTAGAAGTTAATAAACCGAGACGAAAACGGATGCCTGTTCGGCATTCAGTGAACATTGACGGTTTAATGTAAAAGTTATCTGGAAAAAGTAAAAAGGTCATTTCATGGTCCCTTTATCATATTCGAAGCGATAAGCAGGAGCAAGGTTAAAGTACGCCGAGCAGATTTACCACTCGCATGAGAGCTGCTGGCCGGCAAGGTTTCGGATTGGACCGCGTTTCAGTTCCATCAAATCATGATTTATCTTGCAGGAATGCGGGTTCCAACTTCTAACGATGAAGTACTAAAAGGAATCTTTTGCTCATTTGTTTTCAACTGACTGACATCCGGACCCCGGGCCGCAGAGCCTCGGGCAATCTGACGCTTAACTACTCGACCTCACCTCAGCTGACTTGCTTAACTGCTGACGGTTGAAGAATAACAATCCAGTTGTAGGTAGTGTAGCGCTTAGAATCCAACCCCTGAGTTTTTTTGCATGCTTCCGACTCGATATACAACGGAAGAATAAACAGAACAAAGGATTGCAAGGCCGACCAAACTAAACGCGCTCATTGTTGCCAATCGAGTCGATAGAAACCGAAACCATGACAGAATACAATTTCTTGGCGCACGTTTTGCCATTTGGTGCATAATGGCGCAAGGTATTGGCTGTGGCGCAGTTTCCGCAACATGGCGCAGTCAAATGTGTCTGGCACAAATGGCGCAGCCGTTACACCCCTGGTACTATCGGTTTGCACGCTTTCGCTAACATTCCGAAGAAAGGCTCGCTGCCGCAGTTGGAAAGCTAAGTGAGCATTTTTCCTTTTGGGAAGGGGGAACTCCTTGTGGATAGTGGGCAAGCAGAGTGAGCAGACAAGTCTCGGTCACCTGCGGCTGGTCCACACGAAAGAAGGCCAGCTGACAGGGCCGATTGAGCAGGTTGGCAAAGCAGATGAAGGCGTCGGCCACGTCCAGGTTGAGCAGCAGCATGGCCGCCAGGAAGGACATGCCCTGCACCTGCGGAAGCGAGGCCGCTGCAGTCGGCCAGGCCGGAGACCACTGCCCGGGAACTCACGTAGCCCACGTCGGGCCGGTACACCACGTAGGCGCCCAGCAGGCAGTGCAGGACGTCGAAGTAGGGGCCCGACTGAAACAAGAATCCAGAGGTCACGTGCATTGCGGACGAGCGGCATAGACGCACACATCTGTGCTTTCATGGGTGGTCCCATTGGGCCCAGTTCACTGGGGACGTTCAATATACACAAAGAAACAGAAAAACATCACTTGCAAGGCCTGCACCTATTGTTTTTCTGCCTCTCTTTTATACTAACTTAGTGAAGAACATTGGCGTCACACGCATTGTATAAAAAGAAATAAAGTTGACAAGCGCTCAGACAACTTCAAGCTGTCGGGACAAAACGAACACGTCCAGCCTATCGTCCGCTTTCTGTCTGCTCCCATCTTTACCCCCCTGGTTTTTGTGCAAGCTGCAAGGATGATCGCTCTCTGCCCTCCCTTCTTGCCACTTGACAATACAGCCAATCTGCACAAATGCTCTCCACGCTTTCGGCTCCTCCCTCTTGGAAATTCTGTGAGCGAGAAGCACCTTCCGACGCACTAGCTGTGCAACCCTGCTCCAGAGGACCCCGGCATCTTGCATAGTCCTGATTCGCTATGAGCCAAGTTCTTACACTGGCAGAGAAGCTTTCCACCATTCTTTATCTCAACATCCACAAGCTTTATCGACGTAGTACGGTGGTCGACCATGGTCCGGTGACAGTCTCTAATTTTGATGAAAAAAAAAAAGAATGTTTTGCTGATGGTACCCAGCAAAGCAAAACTGATTTTTGTTTTGTAAAAAGAAATCCTGTCTTTTCAGAAAAAAAAAAAAAATTGAAGCTCATTTCTCAGTCCGAGGTGTTTTTGCGGATGTCGAAAAATTGCCATTTCAGGCACCTCCTCCCAAAAGTAACTGCTGTGGCTCTCGAAATATCTACTGAAAAATTATGCATAGGGCGGATTGACCGATATTACTTACCACGAAGTATCGATGCCATTAGCTTGAAGAAGAATCGCAAACGCTGCACATTTCACAAAAATGCTTCAATTTGACATTTCTTTTCTTCGCATCTTTAAACACCAGGATTTTCAAACTTTGCTGCATGTTGCCCTGTATTTTGTTAATCTTTGCGCTAAATATTGTCCTGATTAGTGGTACAAATTTACGAGGAGAAGTGCTCAAATGGGGTTATATCACTAAATATAAATTACTTTGCAAATCAATTAAAAACAAATTCATTTTCGATTTCTTTTAGACCCTTCCAAACTAAGATAAGCACTAACAGAATTTGCAAAAACATCTTGCATTAGTTTTGTGCCTTTGAAGCTATAAAGCAAGAAATCTGGCCAAATTGAGACTACCGCAGTGCTGCGAGTTTAAAGTTTATTTTGTTTACAAAGCATAAAAATGCTTGGGGATGGTGCAGTGTGCCACTATACTTGGGGTCAACTTTCTGTGGCAATGAAGCCAAGGCTAAAGAGTCCAAGCGTGCCGTTTCACTGCACAGCTCAATATTGTTCAACCCAAATAATTTGTTGGGTGTAACTTCATCAACTAAAAAATATAAAATTGTTCTTTTTAGCTTTGATTTTACAATGTTACCATAATATTAGTCAAGACATGCCAAACTTATAGCACTTCTTTTTTAGCTACTTGGGGATTTCTTCGTTTAAGTTCGCCGCAGGCTTTCTAGTTCCCTGCAGAAAAAACGTGACATCTTTGTCGTGTGCGTCGCCCGTACCTTCCGTGAGCTCGCCCCTCTGTTCGCCCCGTACGACTCTTGCTAAGTCTGGCAACCAAAAGTTGTCAAAACAAACCAAGTGGTGTGCAACATGCGCAAGTGAGACAGAGGGAACCGAAACCCTGCTGTTTCCGTATACAGGCAAACCCGTTTATAACGAACAGCAGGAAACGCTACAATCAGTTCGATATGGCAAGTAATTCGATATAGCAAAAACCATCTACAACGAACCTCCACAATGCGTTCGTTGTAAGGCGAGAGCTTCTCTTTCTTTCTCATCTCTTCACTCCCACCTTGTAACAACACGCTGGAAAGTATTTTTTTTTTTTTTCTGCATGTGTGCAGAGTTTGCTTTTTTAGCTTAACTCCCCTCCTGAATCACTTCTCTTCGTGGGCAACCGTTTTGGGATGAAAAGATTTTTTTTTTTTTGTGTGTGTGTGCGAGCAGTGTGTATTTTTTAGCTTTCTCACCTTCCAAATCTCTTTTCTTCACTCAGTTCCGTTCGCAACTTGAGCTTTTGGAATTTTCTTTCCCTCCTACTTTTTTCTGGAGGGGAAGGGACAGGCTAAAAGACGATTGTTTGCACGTTTTCATAAGCCTCCGGGGGGGGGGGGGGGGGGGGGGGGTTCAATATAGCCAATATGTTGTTCGTTATAAAAAGTACTTTCTACATGCATTTTTATTTAAATTTTCTGCGAATTCCATATCGGCAATAATTCGCTCTACATGGGTTCGTTCTAACGGGTTTCACTGTGCTGGTTGGTTAGCGACCTCACCGGCGTAAGCCAGCATACTGTCGCGCGGCTGAAGACAGGGGTGGTTCCCGTTTCGACCCATTCCCAATACAACCTTCCCGTTTGTACCTTCCCGTTTCGACCCGGCTCAAAACGACCTTCCCGTTTCATCCTTTCCCATTTCGCCCTTTCCCGAAACAACCTTCCCGTTTCGGCCACCGTTCGGTTCGTTTGTATTGCTCGTTAACAGTTGAGTAGGTACAAGTGTTTAGTGTCTGAACACTTGTACCTACTCATATAGCGCTCCGTAATCCCCCACAAGACCTTGAACTATACAGAGAAGGCTGGGGGCGCGCATGCGCAGCTGTGGCGTTTTCTTCGGGAATATCGTAGCGGAGGAGAAAAACGATCTACTACAACTCCCTATTGTACAGAGCGCGAAACCGTTAGCGCGAGGAAACGATTGTTGGTTTTAGCTGTTTGTCTAAAAAAAAATCTGAAGACTGCCATCAATATTATTAGTGTATTTGAAAGTGCTCATCTGGTCCACTAACCTAAGCGATAAAATGTTGTACCTTCTAATACCATTTCGAAGTGAAATTTAAGAAAAATTGCCAACATCGTGTTTGTGGTAACGTTGTCGCGCAGTGTACGAAGTCCATTTCGTGGTTACACATTTTGGGGACCATCTTGAAAGAAACATTTTAAGTGGTTTAAGTAGAAATATATTTTGTTGAAGCTTGTCTGAGTGTATTGCATATTTTAAGAATACGTTTACAAGAAAAAATATTTCCCAACATAACTGAATTGCTCACCTTTGCATTAATTGCATTAACATGATTTCGGGACATATTTTTAAGCAGAAATACTGCGCAGACCAGGAATAGAACGATGGACACTTTTAGCGAAGAGGTTGAGTTGTGCGGAGCTTTTTACCAACGGGTTCAAGCGGGACAAATTCAAACAAAAAATATGTCTTGGCTAAGGGTTCACATATGAAGGGCGCTTCGGGAATGGGTTGAAACGAGATAGGTTCAAACGGGAAGGTCGTTTCGGGAATGGGTCGAAACGGGACGGGTTCAAACGGGAAGGTCGTTTCGGGAATGGGTCAAAACGGGACGGGTTTAAACGGGAATGGGTTGTTTCGGGCTACACCCGAAGACAGAGGCTCTGAGTGGTCCTCTGAAGTCCCCAAAGCGTAAGAGGCTTCGTTTGACGACGGGAAGATCACCCAAGGTTACTGGAAAGACAAGAGTGCAGCAGTACGACAGCTTCACCCTTCTGCACTTCGACAACAAGTGCATCGGTATTTCATGTGCAATGAAGTGCCAACTGCAGCAAAGATCCTCAGCAATGTAACCAGCGATACCAAGATGGACCTGCCAAAGCCGAGTATCTGTGAGTAGCTCGGGCTTCTCCAATGACACTAGGTTTGCGTTTCCAAAGCGAAAATAGATCCCTGCACTGCTGGAGAGGAACAACATCATTGTGTGGCGGCAAAAGTACCTGCGATGATGGACGGATGCCTGAATGCTGAATGATTATCCCAAAGGCTAGATGACCAATGTGCAGATATGACACTCATCTGCATGTAGGATAGGTGACTAATGATGGACGAAAGCCTCAATACCAAATAACTATCCCAAAGGCTGGATGACTAATGATGGATGGATGCCTCAATACTCCGACTATCCCAAAGGCTGGATGGACAATATGCAGATATGACAGCCATCTGTGTGTAGGATAGATGACTAATGATGGATGAATGCCTCAATACTGAATGACTACAGTCCCCGACCGATTTTTCGGACTCCGCAGGAAACCAAAGAAACGTCCGAATAATAGAGCAGTCCGAAAACTCAGCAGATTAAAAAACTTGCCTTTATTACGTCTAAGCGGACTTAAAAATGCAGTAAATAGTGCGGTGCCTCAGGTTATGCCTGCGCGCCTAATTTCAGATTATGCCTTCATTTGTGTTTGGCCACTTTCTATACGCTTGAGAATCGCTGCCTTCTTTTCTAGCGTTATGGTTGAGTACTTTCAACACTTCATAGCAACACCTTGCAGTGGCGGAAGAACAGATGGGGCCATGACATCCAAGCCAGCGTGGTCCGAAAACATGATTCACCGAGATGAGATGAGAGGCGCAAGTCCACGACTGCAATGGCGAATGAACAATGCAAAATGCTAACAATGATGATGATAATCACATGCAGCTAGAGAAAAAAAAAAAAAAGCTGTATAGCATCACCTAGCTGTAGGACTTAGCAGGACTCAAGTAGCGCTGCCAAACCAAGCCAATCCATGTGCAGCCGACAGAATCTAAAATGCCGGCTTTTCGGTGGCTTTTCTTGCAGATTGCTCGCGAACACTTTGTCCGAAAAATTTTACTTTCGGACTTTATTCAAGCTGTCCGAAACATCGGTTGTGAATATCCAGTTTCTATTGTGTAGGGCATGGTTCCTCCATTATGTCCGAAATATTGAACAAGTCCAAATTATTGGCGCCCAAAATCGGTCGGCGACCATATTTCAAAGGCTGGATGGCCAATGTGCAGATATGACAGGCATCTGCGTGTAGGATAGATGACTAATGATGGACGGATGCCTCA